AGTAACTCTATTTGTACTTACTCTAACATTTAGATTTATAGGAATTTCCTTCTGACACATGTTGAGGATTTTTATGCTGTTTGCTAGAATTTCAATTTCCCCTGTTTCCATTGCCTAACATAAACATATCAACATATTACACATCAACGAAAATAATACATAAAAATACATCAGCAAACATTTAAAGATTTCTAACAATTTCATACAAATAATTTCAGCCATCCAGGACACTGACCTCATTCTCTTCTCCTTCTTTCCTGGCCCGGACTGTTCCAATTACCTCCACAACAGATTCATATGGCAGATCCTTCAAAATACTGACCTAAACAAAAATATATTAACAGAGTATGTAACATAAAAAATGAATTTCATTGTCTTGCACTTGTCATTTTCACTGTGATCATCATGCATAATGACTGTTCTTTTTTTGTTCTCAGCACTTATTTTGGTGGTGAAAGAAAATTTTCCTCTACCATCAAACACTTCACAAACTTTTAAGTAATGAATTACCATACTATCTGGTAGGAAGACCTGTACAAGCCCTGACCAATCTCGAACCACAAAGAATATCAGTCTCTTGTACTGCACCCATCCACAGATTTTGACCTCCTCCCCAATGTGTGAGCGACGGAACTCACCACAACTGTGAGAACGTTGACTGAAGGTATTTATATCTACCAAAACACATAGCATTGATTATCAATTATTAAATTACACTTGAACATTATTCATGTTTTTCATGTATTTCAGTAACTGGTTGTACACTACACAAAAATGGTGGCATAACAAATCAATATTCATTGGTAGAATTGTAAATTTGATACAGTAAAGTCAACCAAAAAAAAAATATCAAAGATTTCAAATTCAGAAACAACAACACCCCCCCCCCCAAAAAAAAATCATATTTTTAATTATATCGATTGCTTTATGTGATCTCATATATACAGGAATCACCTAAAGCAAATTTTACATTTATTGACCTGTTTTATGGGGCAACATGCATTTTGTTGGACCCCAAAACCAAACTGTTTGGGTTGGAAGGGTCATAAAATGCATTTTGCCCGAGAATACAGTCAATAAATTTTTTAATACTTTTTACTTTTTATTTTGACATATCTTGTAGTGGATTCCTTGTTTGCAATAATTGATAAGATTTAGTTAATTCCATCAACAAACGTATAAGGAATCTGACCAATATCTTGTCGACAGGTCTAATATTTCACTCAGCAGTCAAACATTTTTTTACCATTTGGTAAAACAATGGAAAAGTTTGACTTTTTTTAGTATAGATTTATATAAGAAACAATTTTAAAGGTACAACAATAAAGTTTAGTGCATTTTTCTAGAGACCTGAGTAAAGTAAAGTTCATGGTGATGTAAATGGGCAGACTGTGGGAATTGGTTGGATGGTAGGGAGGTAAATTTGGGGTATATACTGGAGCAGAGGGGAAATTCCATTTCCCATGATAAAGTCAAGTCCATGGTCTGAAAATGCAATATCTAAAAATATTATCTTTAATAGAAAAAAAAAATACTGAACAAAACAAAAGTGCTTCAGCACTATTAGAGTACCAATTGCATTCCCTCTCACATTGGTCTCTCTTGCTCTCTCATTTTGGAAGAGGCACATCTGCTAATCATAATAAATAATATCAGGGAGCAGAAAGAAGATTTTCAAAGAATTCATACAGTTTCATTATATGTTCATTAGAGTCCCGTCTTAACTTCAGAACCCCTGACCCTGGGGCCACAAGTTTTACAATTTTGGAAGAGGCAACTTTCCTCATCATAACCAAACATCTTGTGCTTATCTTCTAAATATACAGGGGGAGAGAAGAAGATTTTTAAAGAACTTATGCATTTTCACTATATGATCATTAGAGCCCCATCCTAACAACAGAACCCCTGACCCTGTGGCCACAAATTTCACAATTTTGGAAGAAGCACCCTGCTCATCATAATCATGCACTTAGTTTATCTTCTAAATATACAGGGGAAGAGAAGAAGATTTTTTAAGAATTCATGTATTTTCACTATATGATCATTATAGAGCCCTGTCACTAACACCAGACCCCTGACCCTGTCCTGTGACCATGAATTTCACAATTTTGGAAGAAGGCTTAATGCTTATTACAATCATGCCAACAGTTTGACTGCTTGATATCCAGGAGTAAAGAATATTTTTAAAGATAGCACTATTTTTGATGGTTTTAATCCCACCCTTCATGCCCCGGGGGGGGGGAGGGGGGGGGGGCAGGGACCATGAAATTCACAATATTTGTACCCCACACCTATGGCACGCCAATTTCACAAAAATTAGCGAAACTTAGTTTCACAGTTGATAAACTAGGTTTATCGACTGTAAACTATAGTTTACAAACCGTGAACTATAGTTAACGATTCGTTAACTATAGTTTTCATCTGTAAAACTATATTTAACGGTTGTTAACTATAGTTTACGAATGCTAATCTAAGTTTATCTGTCTGTAATTAAACGTTAACAATAGATTTTGTTGATAAACATAGATTCACATCTGTAAACTATAATTTACAATCGTGAACTATAGTTAAGAGTTGTTAATCATAGTTTCACAAATCGTGAAACTATATTTATCAGATAAACTATGTTTTACATTCGTTAACCATAGATTTCGGTTGTAAACTATAGTTAACTGTCATTTATACTCACAAACTATATTTAACAGACGTAAACTATACTTATCGATCGTAAACTATAGTTTTGAGAGCTAAACTATGATTCACATTTGCCAATCATAGTTTATCGTAATAAACTATAATTCACACTCGTAAACTATAGTTAAGAGTTGTTAAATATAGTTTATGAATCTAAACACCTGTTAACTGTTAACGATAGTTTTCAATTCGAAATTTCGCGGCACCAATCGCGAGAAGCAATAAAGGGGTATAGGTTTTATATTACGGACACGTGTTGGGCATTATCTAAAGCAAAGACCGAGTTATATATAATCAATATTACTTTCTCTATTTAAACAGGATTAATTGTATTTGTTTGAAAATGTCGTGTATATATATACATTTCCTATGGGGAAATTTTTAGAAATATGATAAAATTTTAATTTTATAAAAGACAGAATATTACAAGATTTTTGCTCAAGCAGAGGAGGGTGAAGCGCGTTTTACAATGTGTCAAGCATTTTCCCGCCACATCTCATCACCAAAACAAAGAAACTGAAAGAGAGGAAATGCAGTGGTGGATATAGATAGGGTTGTGGGGGTTTCAACGTCCTCCTTTGAATTTAAGAGAGAGAGAATGAGACAGAAGTCCCAAATATTTGTTGTGTTTGTTCCGTGAAATATGTATGAAGAAAATTCGGTTGTTGAAAAATAAATTCCGCGCCTGCAATGTTACATGTACTGTGTTATGTCTTTATTTACAGATGAATATAAGATATACATGTATTTCATGAATGACAGATCACGCATTTCGGTCTCTATTTTTCTCTTTTAAATAAAAAAAATAAAATTTTAATCAATAATTTTCCAGTCATTTTTCTTTTTATTTCCAACTAGATTTGCTTTAAAATAATAGAACCTTTACTTACAACGCCAACAAGAAATATACATGTATATATATTTAACAACAATTGTCGTTACATAGCAAAATCTTATAATGCTGTAACTAGGATTAGCCGATCTATAATTTACAAAAAAAAAAAAAAAAAAAAAAAAAAAAAACTATTGTTAACTATAGTTTTGATCGTAAACTATGGTTTAGAGTCGTAAAATCTAGTTTCACAGAAAATTGTGCATCTCCGATACAAAATAAGAGATTCTGTTCCTAAACTGTGTTTCTCAAGTGTAAAACTATGTTTATCGCATTTTTGTGAATTTGGCGCTTTGTATGTCAGTAAAGTATACTTTACAAAGCCTAAACTATAATTTACATTTGTTAAGTATAGTTTAGAGTTGTAAATCATAGTTTACAAATCGTGAAACTATATTTATCAGATAAACTATATTTTGCAGTAGCAAATGATTGTTTTCCGTGTTAATTATAGTTTACGCTTGTGAAACATAGATTATCGTGTAAACTATAGTTTACATATGTGAAATATAGATTATCATCGTTAACTATAGCTTACAGTCGATAAACCTAGTTTATCAACTGTGAAACTATGATTAGCTCATTTTTGTGAATTTGGCGTGCCATACACACCAACTGATGCTAAATGCCAAAATTGGTTGAAACTTGAAATTGGTTAGCGGTTCAAGAGAAGAAGCTGAAGATGTTCAAAAATTTATGACCGATGCACGACGGACGACGACGGACAAAAACAGATAGCAATAGGTCACCCAAGTGACTGAGGTGACCGAAAAAAGTGATTTAGGGCACTTTACTACTTTAGATATATACACCAGGCATGAGGAAAATGAACAAAATTAATCTTTTTTTCTTTTTTTTTTAAAAATCAGGCTAGATTATACAGTAACACTCAGGACATCCTATCAGTTGTTTTTAATCCAACCAGCTTTTATTAATGGAAGAATCCCATTGCCTGTTTACTCACCTCGAATTTGCTTGTTACTTATTATATTCGATAAGAACAATGGCTCATTGTCCTTTGTGTGAATAGAGGCACTCCAACACTGTATTAATCTGGTTGGTTGTCTTCTCAAAAACAGCTTCTGTAAATATCTACAAAGACAACGATGTGACATAGCTACAGCATGCAGTCTGCTACACTTGAGGCAATTCGAGCTGAATGTCCGGTAACGTTATATTTCCAATATATATATATTTTTATAAATCAACAGTATGTTATCGGCAATTTTCGTCTATTACATTTGATAAAATAATAAATCATCATTTTTTAAAGAAATCGATTTTATTTCATTACTGAGAAGTAAATAAATAATCTTTATTTTTTCCGGAATTGATTTTGCCAGTCATATTCGCTTTTGCATTCATTTCATCTGTTCAAGTTCCTATTTGAGTTGCTGGATGTCATGCCGATGATATTTTCATGGAAAAATGATCTTCTTGCCCACGATAAAACTTTCTGTTGTTTTTAAAATTTATTCATGCTCTTGAACAGGATTTGAGACATGCATATAATTAAAAATTAATATGGCATTAGCCTACTGACATTCCTTTGATCAATGAGGTAACAGGTAAGGTCTTACGTCAGATTATAGGTTTGGGATCAGAGGTCGTCCCCCCCCCCCCCCCGAGAAATTGAATGTAAATATTTTCCTTCTATTTCCCCCATATTTCATTGGTAATGCTTGAAATGTTGTAAAGTTGCTTTAAGTATATTTTTGGTAGAAAGGTGTGGAATCTTATTCTCACGCCATGTACCTCATTGCATTTTCAATTTCCAGCTTGTAGTTTTAATGTAGACAATAGGTAGCCTGTTAGTTTGTGCATAAAATTCTGAAATAATTTCTGATGTTAGCCATCACTTTTGTGGCATTGCCCAGTCTTGACTCACAAATTCTACATAAACAAATTTATTTTATTTTATTTATTTGAATTTAATTAGACCAAAATAAAATTATTGTTTTGAATTGCCTCCCACCTCATTGAAGTAACTCCCTCCTAAATGAAAAGGGGTGAAGATAAAGAACAGTGATCGATCTCATAAAAACTTAAAACAATACAAATCTGTGAACAGGGCATAAACACGGACCCATGGAAATTCCAGAGGTGGGATCAATTGCCTAGGAGGAGTAAGCATCCCCAGTTGACCAGTCACATGTGCCTTGAGTCCTATGTATCGATCAAGTAGACAGAATATTCTGTAGTCAAATTTAGTATAAAAACATAGGTCTTACAAATTTCATTGACCAAACATAAGAAGAATTTTTTTTTTTATTTAATGGATTCTTGGTCTATTATGCACCACCAAAGCACTTATTAAGCATCAGATCTAAGGGAAAATAGGGGTACTGTCACTTTTTACAAAAAGTCAGAAAATAATGTGTCCACTTTTTCTTGCAATTTTTATCATTTTTAATTTAACTTCAGTTTGGATAAAAAATTATTTCCCTCCCTCATGGGTCTGAAACCCCCCTGGTGGCAATTCCAAACAACATTTATTTATGGATGGCCCTTTATTTTAAACGAATTATATAAAAAAGATATTCACATTTGTCAAAGAGTCCCATGACCATGATGACAAACCTTTAATTTGATCACAAAGCTCCATAAATATGATCAGACGAGTGTAATTTTAAGATGCATTTTCAAGAAAACCATGGCAAAAGAAATAACTGAATTTTACCATGAAAACAAAAGTCCAGACAGTTCAACTTGATTGTGTAGCACAGTAAATTTTCCAAACACAAATTATTTCAGTACTTTAATACAAAAAAAAATTACAATATTATTTCAGAATTTTCTTATTTATCAAGGGTTATCAGACTCAGTTTTAATGGCCAGGTTTTTTTAAAAATATTTATTATAGAAGAAAATATTATTTATTATAGAAGAAAATATTATTTCTGTTATACCATTAATATATACAATGTTAAACATTGAACATTGAAAATCTTGGTTTTCAAATTGCTCTGGCCTTTTTTTTTTTTTTATACATTTACCCATTTTACACATTTTACCAACACTCACTTTTTTATCATATGTATAGTGTTCACATTAAAATTCTTTCAGGTTGGAATTGGGACATGACTAGAAGTGTCAAAAAACTTAATAAATAAAATATGTTGCTGCAGAAAATTTGCTGTCGTTATTTTGGCTCCATACAGCATTGTCTTGTGAGCACCAAAAGTGGATATATAAGGACACAGTATTTAAGGCAATACAGTTCATTTGGTACAGTAAAGCCATCCAACAATTTGACCACATTGCTCAGAAGAAGTAGAGTGTCCATTATTTGTGATAGGACATTTCATACAGCAGGTCTGCAGCTATCAGGAACAGCTAGATTCACTAATCAGTCCAGCAGTGTAAGGAAAAAGAAGAGAAGGTTGGGGTCACAGGTATTTATCTATCAACCAGTGTTTGTGTGGTCTTTGTTTCCATAATTTAAATAAAGAGTTAAATCAATTAATTATGTCCTTTTCAAACAATCTGTTTTTTTTTCTCTTGACTCGATCATTTCCTTAGTTATGACGGTTTTACATCATATGTGCAAAACATATACTTTGTCAGATGTATGCAATTATTTTTTCTTTGCTCACCAGAGCCAAAGGCTCAAGTGAGCTTTTCTGATCGAAATTTGTCCATTGTCTGTCGTCATTGACCTTGTCATAAAATTTTCACATTTTCATCTTCTTCTCAAGAACCACTGGGCCAATTTCAACCAAACTTGCCACAAGTATCCTGGGGTAAAGGAGATTCAAGTTTTTTCAAATGAAGGGCAACACCTTCTTTCAAGGGGAGATAATTATGAATTCATGAAAAATTAATGGTATCATTTAAAAATCTTCTCAAGAACCACTGTGCTTGAAATTATGAAACATATATGGAATCATTGTGAGGTATGTTAAATTCAAGTTTGTTCAAATCATGAACCCCAGGGGCAGGGTGGGGCCACAATGGGAAATCAAAGTTTTACATAGGAATACATAGGAAAAATTTTAAAAATCTTCTTCTCAAGAACAGCAAAGCCATGATTGGTCATATTAATACGGAAGCATCCTCAGGTAGTGTAGATTCTTGAATTTGTTCAAATCATGAACCCCCAGGAGAATAGAGGTGCCATAATAGGGGATCATAATTATATACAAAGGAATATAAGGGATATGTCAATAATAAATTTCTTCTTAAGAACAGCAAATCCATTATGTGTCATATTAATTCAAAAGCATCCTTAGGAAGTGTAGATTCAAGTTAATTCAAATCACCCCCCCCCCCCCCCCAAAAGACAACACTTTTATATTTAAACTTTTCAAGACTGAACTGATATCTAGCTTAAGTGCTCAGGTGAGTGATGTGGCCCCTGGGCCTCTTGTTATTTATAGAATGGAGTTGAATTACAAGTTACAGCTTATCAGATATCAAAAGAGGACTTGGATTTTGAGTTGTTGGAGAGGTATTTAGAAAAACAGAATCTGTACAAGATCACAGACCTTCCACCAGGTTCATGTCCATATAAGTGCTTCAGATAAAGAATTAATACTCATATTATATTTACTTGATTTTTTTAATACGTGTATTAAAAAGTGCACAAAGCACTAACATGGTTAAATCTTATCAAATTAATGATTGATAAAGCTACATGTATATATGTAACAGTAAATATATTCTTAAACTTCATTTAAACTAGTATGTCTTTACTCAGTGTCACAGATGTCTTATGCTGTATAGTTAATATTTTAGACATGGTAGATGTTATGCATTGTACACCAGTTTATCCAGTGCAAGAGCACCAGAAAGAAATATTTTTCACAAAGTAAGTTCTTATTAATGTGGCTAGTACAAAAGTGTTTGTCTTAGTCAAATTGGATGTTTTCTTCGATATGCTTAAAGTTAGTAGTTAAATTTGTTACACCACTGCATATGTACAGTGTATATCTAAAACACATAAATGACCCTGAGCATTGCCTAGTTGTGATGTAGACCGATATGAAAACTAGAGTGTGCCAAGGAAGACGTGTGTTGTCTGCTATAGCATCATTAAAAATATAAATAAATCTAAGAGTGGTTAGCTATTTATTTGCATACAAATATTATACATGTATAGCTCTTGCATTTGCCTGCAAAGAAAAAAATATCCATGGATATTAAGACTGCAATAGAATAACATTTATCAGAAATCTGATTTCTCAAAGCTGAAATGAATAACAAAATTGAAATTATTAGAAATAATTGTATATATTCTATTATTCTATTCATATGTACCAGTATTCAATTCAGATTTGTTAGTAGAAAGAGATTTCAGTCTGTTTATACTACAATTAATTGTCAGTCTACAAAAGTATTTGAAGTACGATCTATTTTGGCATACCAATCCTAATGTATTTTCATAGTATTTAAAGTCAGTTTGTATGATAACTGTATATCACATGTCATGAGCTTATAAACACAAATACATGTATATATACTAGTTATCGAATCCCAGGGTCTCAAAATTTAGAAGACATAAGGTAAATTAATTGTTCAGATGACATGCTTGAACTAATGCTTTAGAGAACTCAACAATCAAACTTTATTCACTGAAAATTTTAGTGATTTTCGTACATTTTGATAAAGGGTCAAAAAGAACTGTCAGATAGAATTTATAGGTACTTTTACATGTCCAATTTGTATTTCAGGCAGGGTTCTGTGGTTTTCTGGGATGTTCCTGAAACTGAGGTATACTAGTACATCTCTTTAAACATTAATATGAGGAGTCAATCCTTTGATTATTAAATGCATCTTTTGTAACAGAAAATACACCCTTTTACATTTATATAAGTTCAATTCATTGTCTCTTTATTCTGAGTAACATTTTTACTTCATGCCATTTCTCCTTTGCTTCCTGATTAACACAGAGACATGAAGTTTTACAGTTTGTGAAAGAACTAGATCCAGAGAATGCATTTGATGATAAATTTATTGAGGATGAATCAGAGAGCATGATGGTTACATTAAGGTAGATTTATCAGAAGCAAATTAATATGAAGCAACACTGTAATAGTCCTACTTTTCATTGTTTCAACTGATCATCTAATCCATTCAATTGATAATGCCATATCATATACATGGTATTTTACAATAAAAAATCACATATTTTTGTGGGGTCAATTTTCCAAGGTTTGAGGAAATATTATTGGTTCAAGGGAATTTGATTTTGTGGGTGAAGAAGTTCTGAGTTGTTATATATTTGAAATTTTACAATTTGATGAGGACATAAATTTGTGGCTCTCTCTTTATACCATGAAAACGTTGAAAATTAGTTGTAAAGGCTCAAATAATTTGATAAATATCTATACAAGTAGAAAAACACCCAAAGTTTATAGATATACACATGTCTACACTGAAAAATTTCTTTTGCAGTGATAAGGAATCGTGTATCCTGGACAGCAACACCATTAACATGAACAGTACTCTGTACAGTAAACAAACAGGACAACTACAGAAGTACGCCTGTACTAATGCTTTAATGCAGTCATGTGAGTGTAAAGCCTAGGACTGGATCATTATTGTTACTGTTGTCTTATTTTATATAATGTATATTTACATGTATTTACATGTATTGTTTTCCTTTGAACTAGTGCACTTATCTGCAATGGAGAGACAACTAGAAGATTTCATTGATGATACAGAACATCTATCAATGGTCAGTCTTAATAGCGAACTATCTGTGATTGGAAGATCGATATACATGTATATATACAACACTAGTTTATATATACTTATACATCTTTGGTGATAATGGTTTACTGTTATACATCTTTTAAAAATCTTGATAACCTGAGGATCGGACTACCTTAGTGAGCATTTTATTCCACCTATTCATTTCATTGAATTTGCATCATTCACAGGACTTGAAGGCTGGTAACCCTATTCGAATCAAAGCTAGAGAAGTTCAGCAACACCTAGGGAAATTATTTGAATTTAGGTATAAAGTCTTTGGGAAACATTTAATTCTATTCTAAAAAACAAAACAAAACAGTAAATGGAAAAATTGCCTTCTGACTTAGCATGGAGCCTTTCATGGTTTCAGTTAAGATTGATTTATTACCTAAGAGAAATTTATGCCCTGTTCATACGGAGAGTTTAATTTGCAGTAAATTAATGCGAAGTAAAATGATGCGAATTAAACTAATGCGAATTAAATTGCGTTCACACGACAGCTAATGCGAAGTAAACTAATGCGAATTATAATTTTACTTCTACAACAAGGCTATTCAGTAAGGCTATTATGACGTCATTTACAAATCACGTCATATTGTGCAGAGCAGATACATTTGACATAATGTCATAGTGTCTGTACACATTTAAGTGATTAAAATAATTTTCCTTTGTTTTCCACTCAAAAATAGCACAGATACCTATATTTGACCATCGACATGTGGCCTATGACTTAATTCTGCCCTTACGCATGCGTCAAAATTTAATTCGAATTAGCTTCGCTTAGCGTTCACACGAAGTAATTTAATGCGCAGTAAACTAATTCGAATTAAACTAATTCGCATTAAATTCTCCGCGTGAACGCGAATCAAATTTAATTCGCAGTAACTTACGTTTAATTCGAATTAAACTCTCCGTGTGAACAGGGCATAAAATAGGTGAGCAATCTCATTACAGGAAGAATTTGAACCTGTGTTCTGATCTTTTGGACACACCTGATTTTTACTGGGACAGAGCAGAACTGGAAAAGCTGTACTTGGATCTGTGTAAAATAATGCAGACTAAATACAGAACTAAGGTAACTAAATCTTATAGATTCCAAATTACACATAGATTACATTTTGTAATTACCATTTAAACAATTACTGGATATTTTGCTTCTTTCTTTAGAACCACTCTTGCTACATAAATATTCGCAGCTGTAGATGGCTTGAATCAGTTACAGAAATAATACAATAGTGCATGTTTTGGAGGGTAACAGTTGAAATTGAGACCTTGAGAGAAAACTGTTGTCAACCGATGCATCAGTGGAAGTTGTCAATAGTTTTCCCAGGGGTGTTAACTTCAAATGTTACCCCCCAGAACATGCACTATTTAGTTTATTATACTGAATGTCTAATTGATTTCAAAAAGTTGGAAATTGTCTTTCTGAATCGGATCTCGTTTTGAAAGGCATTTAAACATTCTGCTTGTTTTTCTCAATGAAAACGCTTCAAAAATGATACACCAACTTCTAAAGTGTTTGTTTGAGAGGCTGTACTCAGAGAGTCCTTATTCTTCAATAATTTTGTTATTTTTGCACTTGCAAACATTTTTTTCTTTGGTTTTTTGTTTTTGCAATCAATCTTACTTGGACCAAGCATTTATTAGCATCAAGTTTACGTTGGTCATTTCAAACGCATGACAGAAGTGCTGAGAATTCTACACATAAATTACATGTACATGCATGTGTCATTATCGGTTATGTTACTTATTGCTAATGCTAAGGGTAACATTAAAAATTGGGTTATGCTTCTAAACCCATCAGATTTTAGTAAACATGAAAGTATAATAAAATTTAATGTTGTAGGTGATGAATGAGAAGATTAATTATTGCTGTGAGTTGATGGAGTTGTTGAATAATAAGTTTACTGATGCTCGCCACACCAAACTGGAATGGATGATCATTGTTCTCATAATGATTGAGGTCAGTGTTTTTATTTACAAATGCACTTCAAATTATCAGCTCAGGTGAGCTTTTATGATCACCCATTGCATTATAAATCTTTCTGTCTGTATATCTGTCTGACTGTAAACTCAACACATTTATGACTTCTCTATGAACCACTGGGTCAATTTCATTTCTTTTTTTTATTTTCACTGAAAGAAGATTTTATAGTCACTAAAAAAAGAATAATGTTAGAAATTCTATCAAAATGCTAAATGGCTATTTTTATGGGGTAAATTTTTGCGATTTCCATGGTGTAAAGCATTTGTGTGGGACTCATTTTTGCTAAGTTAAGGAATTTACGAAATATGTTGCTTTGTTGTTTAATATGGTACCATATACGAAACTGTTCATGTGGCTATAACTTTTGTGAAACTTTACTGAGCACAGAATTCACCACACAAACATATCTATAATTTACAGTATTCTGTATACATATTTGGTTTGATTTCGATAATACTTGGTACAAATTTAGACAATATAATTCTGTAAATAAACAACTATCATAAGTATATCACCGTTTCATCAGAGACCTCTGGATCTGTTGTAGGTTGTGTTTGAATGCTTCCACCTGTACAGGAATGACTATGACTGGTTTGTTGGGAAAGCAGAACCTAAAAAACCCTCAGAGACTGTGGACAATTAATTCATGCTACTGCATGCTGGACCAAGGATTATTTTTAACATCAGTTTAGACTCTAAAATCTCAGATTGTGAAATATGCAGATGTGTATACATGTATTAATGACCTAATTCATTTACATGTTATGATGTGTATCATACAATTATGAAGCTACATGTAGATGTATGTTCTTGTTATGAAATTTCCTGAAGGAATTAAAATGACAAGTCTTTTTTCCTGGGCCAAATATTGATTTGTTTTATACTGAAACCTTAAGAAGGTTGTCACATTGAACTCATGTTCATATTCCAATTTATTACAGATATGCAAATTAGTGTATAAATTAAATTTGTACTCGTGTTCTTATGTTTTGAATTTATTTATATCAATCAACGGAAAATAATCCAACTTCACCTACTGATTACACAAAGAAACTAGAAAACTATCATACAGCCCCCCCCCCCCCCCACTATGTATTATATCAATAATACCGACATTTGATCTTGACCTTTGAGTTGACCCATTATTATGCATGTGCATCGTGCATCTTCCTATAACTATCCTGTACCTAGTAGTTAATTTTATGAAGTCAGTAGATTAAAAGCTTAACACCAATAATCTTGACCTTGACCTTTGATCAGGTGAGCTCTAAATCTGTAGATATTTTCCTTAACCACCCTCTACTTTTAATATGTAGTAAATAGAAAGTTATTGTAAATGTATTATATTTAGCTTGTACAATATTTGGTGGAAAATTAATTTTTATCAAGATGGCAGACATTTGATTTTGTGCATTTCTGAATGTGCTGAACAGATACCTACATCGCATTTAGCAATGTACTTGATTTATTGGAAGTTGTCTTCCGTGAAAGGTGATATCAAGTAGAATACACAGCCAAATGTAATATGTTTACAGTTTACGGTTGAGAAGTAAATATACTTCAGTTAATGTATCACACAGCCATGTTAAGGTTGCCCCAAGATTTAAAATATATGCAAAATATATCACTATATTGAGAGACATTTTGATTTTACTTTTAAAAATACAGATATGAATATAGAAATAGCAATCTGCATAGAGCCCTGGTTCTGCTATACTTAAAAGTTAATTTTGCTTTAAAGCCACCAATTTCGATTGATCATGCAGCATTGATTTTTTTAAAATGTTGCACAACTGTTGAGTTCTGACAGTTATGAAGACTTTTTTTATAACTATGTACATTTACTCATCATATCCTATTGTATCTGAAAAATGCATGCTATGCTTACATGTACATATGTGCATGTACGTATGGAATATGAGTATTCCAAAATGTCCTTACATTTGATAGTATTTTCAGTGCTTGGTTTTGTAACAGGAAAGTAGAAAATGTATGGCTGGACCGGGAATCGAACATGGGACCCCTGCATCACTAGTCAGGTGCTCTACCCACTGAGCTACCAAAGCCGATATCGACGGCCCAAACCATTACATTCCTCCCTCCTTAAATTGTCTTTGCCCTCAAAGACACAACCCAAGTTCTTATTTGCCCCTGGCAGGACTTTCACCTGCAAGTCCAGGGGTGGTCAACAGCACCAATTCTGTAACAGGAGAGGAGAAAAATGCGATGGACCAGACTGGGATTCAAATCTGGGCCCCCTGAATCTCCAGTCAGGTGCTCTACCAACTGAGCTATTTGGCCACCGCGATCGAACCCGTCTGACTGCCACATTCCTAACTCCTTAAAGATCTTTGGCCCCCGAAGATACCAACCCAGGCTCTTCCCTGGCAAGTCTTTCACCTGTCACTTCCACTGCATGGCATGGCACCAAATATAACGGGAGAGAAGAAAAATGTGACCGACCAGAGCGGGATTTGAATCCAGGCTCCCTGAATCTCTAGCTCTACCAACTGAGTGAACAGAGCTATCTGGCCACCGGCGATCGAACCCAACCGACTTCCACATTCCTCCCTCCTTAAAGGTCTTTGGCCCCCGAAGACACCAACCCGAGCTCTTCGACTTTAACCTGCAAGTCCAGGAGAGGTCTGTAACACCAAATCTGTAACGGGAGAGGAGAAAAATGCAATGGACCAGACTGGGATTCAAACCCAAGCCCCCTGAATCTCCAGTCAGGTGCTCTACCAACTGAGCTATCTGGCCACCGCGATTGAACCTGTGTGACCGCCTCAGTTTGAATCATGTTTTATATTCTTGAGAAGTGAATTAAACCTACCTTCCAAAGGAAAATTCAGTTGCAAGAGAACATGTATACCAATATACCACAATTATCAACAGTTGATTTATATTATTCTGACACCTGTGCCAATCATTTACATTTCTGCTTCTTACTGCAAATGTGTATTCAAGAACATTTCCAAATCAAGTAAATTGCCTCATCAATGTAGAAAATTGCTCAATAATAAAACAATATCCTCAAGCTTACAATATACTGGAACATGTTCATGTCTAAGACATACTGGAATAAACTTTTAATATTTAGAAAGAAAACTACCAGTGCTCATACACAGTACAGATATCAGTAATTATGACCTTTTATCCTCTACAGAGTTCTTCCTGAAACAATATCCCCTCGACTATGTAGTGAATTTTATATCATATGGTGATGAAGTCAAGTTAACATGTTACATAAGTGTTGATACACTGGAATACCTGACATCCACATCAGACACACTTGGCCTTAATAAAAAAAAAAAGCAGTCATAGACTCTCTCAAAATTTTTATTGCCATATATATTGCATTAAAAATCTTTTTCACCAGAACATACATGTGCTACATATAGTATACAAATTATGAAAATAACAATGCTCATCCTTTCAATAATTGCATTTACCTCCTCAAACTGAAATGTTTTCTCAACCTCTGTGATTTTCTACCTCTGTTTTTGTGTCAGAGAACACTTGTACAATAGACAAAAACTATAGCTAAGTAGGTTAGGTATAGGATGAAGTTAATTTATCTATAATGGCTCCCATTCCTGAATTAATAACTAAACAAATGAAATGACATTCTAATTGTGACCTTAATTCGTTTTCTCACACTGAAATTATATTTCAGAAATAGAAAACAACATCAAATGAAATGTTGAAATCAAACAGTGCAATTTTGGCATTGATACGACAATGACTGAAGGTCATGATAGGAATTTGTGATAAAAATGTAAAATAACAACCTCTCACACATCATTGAACAAGTTCTTTTATGACAGATCCTTCCAAATTTAGCAGTGCTCTATAGATACACAATACATGTAACATCCCCTCTTTACTGTGTACTTGTAAAAAAGTTTTATTTATAGTCTATTTGTCCATTTACTGAAAAAAATCTTTGAAATGTGACTTAATATCAGGATTGTGGTTATAGCACCATCAATGAAATACATGTATGCTCACTGGTATTGTGGTGGTAAAACTAAATGCACTGTTGTGAATTCAAAACTAAGTTCACTGCAGGCCATGGAATATTTGTCCCATTATGAATTATAAAACGGTAACAATATTTCTATAGAATTTAGACTTGGGAAGTGAGCATGATTTTTCATACCGGTACTTAGTCTTACAAATGCACCAAAAAAAAAAAATGCACAAATATTAATGTAAAAACCCACACATTATGGCCAATCAACAATCATACTGCTCTCTTACATCATGTCATAACTCACTGTCACAAAATCTCATAAAAAAACCGAGTCTTCTTAGTCCAGATCCAGGGTGTCTTCTTAGTCCAGATCCATGGTGTCTTCATCCATGTCAATGTCTTCTTCTGGTAAACTGAATCTGAAAGTATTCAAACAAAACTTCAATGCAACAAAATACTTGTAACAGGTAAGTTTTAAGAGTATCCTCTGCACTGTGAAAATATGTGTGCAATGTACTATAAAAAGTTGGGAATTGGGATATGCTTTTTCTATTTTTCATTTTACAGCTGCCACCCATAAAATATCGGTACTTACAGTGGAGATGATGGGAGAGTATCACTATCTTGCTCTGCCATTGCTATAACTGGTTCGTCTATGTCATTGTCAGTCGTGTCCTGATCATGTGACTTCTCAGAGTTTGCTGGCCGCCCTAAAGGTGGCTTCCATAGCACTACTTGCAAGTTTGAGTTGTTTCTGTTTAGAAAATTCAAGTTGCTAAATTCACAATATGTACATGACAAAATACATTCCTTTGTCTTTTGCATAAACCTATATAAATATTGGAGACATTAGACAATTTCATTCAGTATGACTAACTGGGATTTTGAAATTCTTCCATTTTAATGAACTGATAATTGACAAGGCTGTGAAACAATAGTTTTATGTAAAAATTTAAAATAATCCTTTCTCAACATTGCCAATTCACCATGATCAAAATTATTTCAAAAAAGCATGATAGTTTGAATCTACCTTTGATGGATCAAACAACATCTATTTCAAATTGGAGATATACCGTATTAAAAAGTACAAAATCTACAGGAGTCCTTACATGTCCTCTAATATTTTCTTTGGCAGTATTGGTGATGGGTTAAATATACTGGCTGTTACTTTTTCTGGTAAATTCAGCTTTAGCCTTAGTTTAGGTTTTTCTTTCCTCTTATTTTCCCTATCTCTGCTTTCTGAAACATCATCTTCAAGCCTAAAATGGCAACAATGCATCAACTTACTTCTTTTTTGAACTGGTACTTTACCTTGATTTATTTTTCTTGTTTCTCCCTCTCTAAATTACAGTGTATTTCATGAAATAAATTTTAAGTCATACAGGAACAAATTTGTCTTTAAAAGTATAAGTAATTTTTCTCTATTGATAAAACCACCTTTTTTCCAGTTCCTTTAGTCGCTGCAGCCCTTCTGCTTCCTTACAATATTGCGCATCCATATTACTGGATAACACAACATCAGGCAAAGGCTGTATGGGCGGTGGGGAAAGGTTTCTCGTACCTATGTTTAAACTCTGCATTCTGTCTGCCATTTTTTCTTCTGTTAGAAATATTTTATTCTCTGGAGAACCTGCTCTGAAATAACGAATATTCATTAAAGTACTTCGATGACTTTTCAGAACTACAAAAGTTTTTGAATTTGATGTCTTATTTATGTCATTTGAAACATGACTTAAAATCCATAAAAAAGATAATGAAAAAATAAAAACTTACTCAATATCCTCTGTTGCATGACGTTTATTTCTCCTAGCTGGACCACTGCAAGATGGTCGCGGACTTGGCCTGCAACAAGAAAACTATATTCCAACCAGAATTTTTCTTAATACATGTACATGGTATAGTTGATTTACTTAAGTCATTTGATGTCAGCATCTCAAACTTGATGGGACCGAGAAAAAACTTTGAATTATCCAAAAAATCGAGATAACAGGGTTAAAATACATAAAGAAAAAGTAGTTGGGACTTACATTAAAAGAGACTTTGACATAGGTATTCATGATATTCGAGATATCAGTGTTTTGAGTTTTCGAGATACCAAAGTTCAAGTACATAAAACTTATAAAACTTCAATGATCAAATCAAAAATCAACCTTACACTGTGTTGTAACTCTGAGACACTGTTGAGTTCCCCGTAAAAGTGGAGACCCTTGACATCCCTGAGTTCACCATGCCATAAACTTGATCAGTCCATGGCATGTAGTTTGGAACTGTATGCTGCCATGTTGCTCCCATCCCTGGAACAACTTGCTGAGGGTTCATGTATGTGTTGGAATAAAGGCCAGCTGGTTGGCTTGTTTGTGTGAAACCTTAAAAAAAGTAAAACTACCCTTTCTATTTACAATGTTAGCTGTAACAAATTCAGAATATATTATAATGTTTGAATAATGAATATATAATCTACAGTAAAACATTTTGGCTGTCCTCAAGGGTTTCCATGAAACTCTTTATTTAACAAATATTAGCACCTATAAGTATCGTCTCCTTTTGAATTTGGAGATATTTCTATTAAAATGGTAGATACACACAAAATATATATATTAATACAGCTGATAATGTCAATGTGTAAATGCAAATACAACAAGTTTACACACCTGCAGTCAGCTGATTTGCTGATGTAGGAACTGCAAAGGTAAAATTCCCTGGATAGTTGCATCCTCCCTGGTTATTCTGCATTGGAGTGTAGTTGTTGATGATGTCAGGTTGGTGACCAAATTGTCCAATGTCTGGGACGTAGTTGTTGTTGGAGTAGATACCAATGTCAGGATTTGTCATATTTAACTATGACAGTGTCTTAGCTGCAATGCTTCATTATATTTTTTTCAGCTGTAATTGCAAGAAGATCACGGTTCTCAATTTTCTCTAGACAAATTCGATTTCTATGACTGAGAATACCACAGTGTAATTACTCTACATGGAGTTTAGTAAAATATTGATACCACTGTCTACTGGAGTTTAGTTTGTACCAGAATGTTCTGGAATCATCGGGATATAAAAACACAGAAAAAGAATTCTTAACTTGAATCAAATACAATATCTTAGTAAATAAGGTCACGACTTACTAGACTACAACCTAAAACGGCCTAAGCACTACAAAACGTTGTCTGAAAATGCTGTACAACAAAGATTGATTATAAACCGGAAGCAGCTGTTTTGATTAGGTTTACGGAAGTCGAAGTAAAGAAGAAGAATTCATCATGAAAATTATTTTAAGTTCATCCAATGTTTTATAGATTTATTCATGATACCAAAATGTATTACGAAATGGATAGTAACAGCATTTGGATATAATTATTTCTTACGACATATATCGTAAGTCAAACCGCGGGAAATTGCGACTTTCACTTTCTCTTTTAGGTTTTTGACAGACTTCCCACAAAATGTGGTTATTAAAACCTTTGTCAGAGACAGGTAGTGTATGTAACACCTAAATGTACTTGTATATATGACTAAATTGGAGAGTTTTAATAGTTTTTCTGTGTAATGTATTTCAGGTAAAACAATTTCTTTGTTTACGAATAATGTGTATGTAGTCGGACGAAAAGACTGCGACATTCTACTCCCATTAGACCCTGCTATCAGTAGAAGACACGCTCAAATAAAAATCTCACATCCTGAAACTAACACAGTAAGTTACTCATTTATTCACAAATCATATATTTATTTATTCACATCTCAGTAAGTCTTGTAGTCTCAATGCCAAAGGCAGTTTGTAAAGTTGAGGAATTTGCTGTATTAAACTGTTGTATAACATATAATGGCACATTCATTCCTTTACAGTCAAAGCCAGACCATTTACCAATAATTTTACTAACCGACCTTTCAAAGTTTGGAACCTGGCTTAACAATAACAGGCTGAAAAAAGATGAAGAGAAAACACTAAATGATGGCGATCAGGTTACCTTTGGTTCTCCCAAATCTTCCTTCAGGTCAGTTCAATTTCTGTCCAGCTGTTTCTTATACTTATGGATAAAGTATATTTTCAGGGCCAAATAATCATGTATGATGGTTTGTGGTGAATTGAACAAAAAATTATTTGTATGTGTTCCCTACATGCCAACTTTTGAAAATCTCCTTGGGGGAGATTGCGCGTAATGACATTTTTCAAGTTTTAAATTTGCGGCATTTTGTCGTGAAAATAAATATTTGTTGTTTTTTTTAAACATCAGTCTAATACCTTGTATCATATATTCACTACTTCAAAAAGTGTTTTCTTTTCTATCAACTTCAACAAAAACACAATATTATTTGAAATTTAAAGAAGAAAATTTTAAACAAAATTATTTAAAATATGTTAATATAAATATAAGCATTCCCCCTGCCCTATGCAATGTCATACACATACAAATTATTACATAAATAAGGATGTTAAACTTAAAAATTAATAACAAATAAACTAAAGCAAGTTACTACAGTATAATTTGTCCAAACTGGACACTAACGGTTCCATAAAATTTGGCCGGATTAGACAGAATCCGGAGTGCAGGAAAAATGCAGGAATATATGTGAAATTTATTTCCGTTTTATTAACATGTTCAATGCATATGTTGGAAAAATATAATTAAATGACAAAATCATTTGATATTTATGGAGTCTAAAATTATTCAAAAGGATCGCATGACTTACTGTCAATTTTTCTATTTGGTTCACAAAGTTTGAGACTTTCAACGTGAAATGTTAATGGAGTCAAAATCTACAGACACGTATATATCAAGTGCGGGTTTTGCAAGTTGGAAAGCGCATTCAACTTAACCATAAACACAATTATTTACGATTTGATAATTATTGAATTGACATTTTGATTTTTTTGTAAACATTTACGTCTTCCCTTCAATGTTATGACGCCATTTTGAAATAAGACGTTCCAGTTTCGATCCGGATTTATATTTTGATTTGTAAATCATGTGCCAATATTGTCATTGATTTTATGTTATACTGTGTGAGCAAGTTAAACATGTAAGCATTTTTTTATAATCTACTTGTAACTTAACTTTATATTTCTTAAAGTAGGTTGTGTCACCGCAGTGTTTCAGTTCGTCTAATGACACTTACGTAAGCACACATAAGCACATCTACCACGAAAGGTGTTAATTGCATTTAAGTGACAGGTTATTCTGCGTGGCCGGATTAGAGGAAATAATTACCGTTAATTATGAGTAGTTGGGTCCAATTTTACCGTTCGGAATACAGAATAGACAGTATCCGGACTACACGTAATTTTTTATAATACATTTGTTAAAGAAGTGGGACTAAAATTTATAGCCGAAATGGACAAAATTCCCGAGTACTCAGAGTCTGGATTAGACAAATTTTACTGTATTTGAGTTCATGCAGTTACTGTTCATTGTCTGTTGGTAAATTACACATTTTATAATGCTACTAAGTCACAGACACATAATTTTTGTTTTTTGTAAATCAAACGGAATACTAAGAAGAAGTCACTCTTAATGTTTTTCATGCAAAGTCTGCAAAAGTCAAGGTTTTCTCCTTTTTAACTTTTTGTTAGTCACTCAAGGAATTCTAAAAAAACTAACGGTTTGTACTTGCAGATGCTTCTTTTCATGTTGGATTTTGGCAGTGTCTTTTCCATGATCAATGACATAGTTTGTAATTATAGTGAGGAATGCCATATTTCCTAAACTTGAAACCCTTTTATAAACAGCTTATACATATATTGTTAAATTTTGCTGTTAAGTGTGAACTTGTCTTAAGTTTGTATCCTGTTGTGTATATTTCTAAATTTCCACATCTGGCATGATTGTCTAGGTTAATATACACTGATAATGAGAATCAGGAGCAATTAAAACCACAGTAATGACTGGTAGCACAGTTGACACCTTGCTGATTACCTGTTATCAGCGGCAATAAACAGATATCTACTGATAAACATTCGAACTGCCATCTTTTTTTTTCACACGGAAATGCAGTATTATTCAAAGCGGATCGGCAAAAAAATCCGGAATTCCTAAAAATCGGTAGAAATGGACTAAAAAAATATATTGGTAGACAAGCAGTAGATAGGGTTCAAAATCGGGAAAGTTGGCATGTATGGTGATCTGTGATGTAAACTTAACTTATTTTGATATACCTGAAAACCACTTGCTGGTTTGTTCAAGTAATAATGGCCTTTTTCCATGCATGTAGACCAATATATGCAAAATTGAGTCTTGATGTAAATGGTTAAAGGTATAAGAAAAGCAAACTAAAATTGATTGTCAGAAAAGAAATGATAGGATTAGTACTTGCTTTGTGAAGTGGATATATGTTTATTTTGAATTGCTCTCATTACACCATAGTTTGGATCATATTTATTTTTTAGCTCTCTGGTCAGAGACCAGAAGAACTTATGTGGATAGTAAGGTGTACATTGTCTGTCTGCTTGCCTGAATGTCTGTCTCTATGTATGTAAACAATGTTTGAAAATGCTACTCCTCCTACAGTTTTGGTCCAATTTCAATATCACTTTGATCACAAGTATACTACATTACGATACACAATTGTTTATGTCTGTTTTTGATTTTGATGAACAATGTAGCCATGGTAACTAAAAATTGAAATTTATGTGAAATTCCATCAAATGCTAATAGTTTTGGTCCAATTTCAATATAACTTTGTACAAAGTTGATTACACTAAGATACATAATACATGTATCAGTTTTTGATTTCAACAGATGATGTTGCCATGGTGACTAAAAATAGAAATTTTAAAATTCTTTCAAACTGCTACTCCTCCCACAGTTTTGGTCTAATTTCAGTAATACTTGGTACACAAGTAAACGATACTATCATGATACATAATTCTGTATGTCAGTTTTTTATTAAAAAAAAAATTGTGTTACCATGGTTACAAAAATTAGAAATTTCTTTGAATTCTTATAAAATGCAGCTCCTCCTACAGCCTTGGTCTGAATTGACATTTTACTCAAGTAGACTACACTAAGATGCATCTTTTTTACAAATACACACCAGTAGAGCTACAGTCTCATCAGAGATTTCTGGTTTTAATAAAATTGCATTGTGTAATTCTTAAAGAATAATTTGATATTATTTTTAAAAAAATTATACCAAGCTTGCTTATATAAACAGTGTATTATGATCCTATCTTTTAGAGTCGTGTATGAACCATTCATCATTTCAACATCTTGTCTGGATAATCCATCAAAGAAGCTTGTCCGAACACATGTTACTTCATTAGGGGGTCACATGGTAAATGAGTGGCGGCCAGACTGCAGTTTACTAGTGATGAATAACCTCAGCGTCACCATCAAGGTCATCACATTTCATTCTTGTAATGATATCAATCAACAATTGTCTAAATTTTAAATTACTTTCTTTAAGTTTAATGATTCAATTCATAAACATAAGGTACATATTTTCTTGCATTCAATATCTTTGACTGGAATATCATTTACCCCCCTCCCCCTTCCCATTTTAAAGAAATGTTTAACATATTTTTATTTTAGGTCATTGCAGCATTAGTTTCACAAAAACATATAGTTACTCCTAAGTACATCGAAAAAGTGGTTGAGTATACCAAGGAGGGAAAACTACTGCCTAATCCAGATTTGTATGTTCTTAGTTTTAAAAAGTGATTTAGATTTGATACACTGTTTATAAATCAATACAAATTTTATTTTGAAAATAAGCCAATAATTTTCAGGTTCCTTCCAAGTATCTCGGAGACGCAAATAAACCCGGATCAAGTCTCCTTTAAACCAAACATAAAGAGGGCATCAATATTCCAAGGCATGAAGTTTATCTTTCTCAACTCTAAACAGGTATTGTTTCTTTTATGCAACTGCATTGATGAACTAGTGCTTATTGTAACGGGAACCGTTACAGATGTTCCCCAAACGGCTCCCCAATCTCTTATGATGCCCCATTCTCTACAAGCTTCAATAAATTAGACAATACTTTTGTAATATAGATGGATACTTTATTTTTAAGGGTATTTCATTGGAAAACTACTCCAATAAGCCATATGGGTATTAGCCAATCAAATTTGAGCGCATTTGCTTGCACATGTTTTCTACATTTTTCACATTAAATTTCTTATAGTGCCTCACAATACATACATTTGTGTTAAATATTAAAGAATCTCTTTGAAAAATAAGAGAGATGTAACCCTTTAAGTATTAGCCAATCAGAATTCAGCATACGCGCATGCATGGCCTTGCATTCAATTTTGATAGTATCATAATGTAGGAGCTCTATGTCCCTATCCATGTCATAAATTTCATCCTGTTTTGTTGAAAACCAAGCGAGTTATAGACATTTAAAGTTTCAACCCATCAGATTGCAGCACACCTGCATGCGCGTGTTTTCAAGAAATTTCCTATATAATATGTTGTAGCACCTAATAATATATACTTATATTCTAAATTTCAAAGTATTGTGTCAAAAAACAAGGAAATTATTGAGATTTTTGTATCAGCCAATCAGAGAAGAGCGCACGTGCATGCGCGTGAGTTCACGCTAATTTGACCATGTTATCTTGTCTAGACTACTAATATATCTTTATATTTTGAGTTTAAAAGCAATTCATCAAGAAATATAAAAGTAACGGCTTCATCAAGTATGTCAGTCATTTCACTCATTGCACGCGCGCGCACGTGCATGCATGTGCGCGCAAAATGACCTTCGTTCCGAACACCTACACAACATGCCTATTAACCCAAAAAAGGTTTCATGTCAATCGGATGAGTGGTTCTATGAGAACACTCCTGGACAAAAATGTGCCGGAGAAGAAAGTAGAAAAAAAGAATAATAATAATAATAACTAGACTCTTGTTGCCATGGCAACAAAAAAGTCTTCCGTTCTTCTAAATCTGTAAGAATTTGCTTTTTTTCTGTGTAAAAAACATACATATCATATTTACTGTGAAAGAAAAAAATAACTGGAAAAAAGTCCTTTCATTACTTGAGGTACTTTGATTTTCATTATCAATCTTGTATAATACATTTTGCACCTATAAGAGATATACGTATATCATTTGCAATTTTAAAAAAAAATTGTTTGCAATCATTTCTAAGACAAACAAACAAACGAACGAACAGCGTACTATCATAAACTTCACTGTGTATATGTTTTGGCATAATTGTGATGGTGTTATAAAAAAATATAATGAATTAAGTTAGTATCACATTAAACGTAAAGTCACTGAGTTTTGTAAAGTTATAATATCAAGATTTGACAGCATACCTATAAGACAGATTATTCAATTACAGTAATTCTTCAGCAATCGATTGATTGATTGATTATACGTATGTTGTTTAACGTCTCTCTCCAGAATTTTTCACTCACATGGAGATGCCACCACTCGCCTGTGGAGACTGCAAATTTTTGTCCTATACTTTGGCACTTATCGCAATTGAGCAGTGAGGAATCTTTTTTATGCCAGCACCTTCTGCGACAAGGGAGCTCGATTTATACGATCTCATCCAAAGGACCGGTCTCCACGTCCCACAGTCGAAGTTCATAATACCGAGATATTTTATTTTTTATTTTATTCTATTCTTTCACAAATTTATTGCATCAAATTTACTTAAAGATCATACTTCAAGATCATTTCGAACTCAGGCTACTTCACTGCAGTGCATACAGCGTCAAGTGATTTTGATTGACAGGTCAACACACGTGCACTTCGTGTGATACTTTTTAAGCTGAAAAATATACAGGATGTGACCATGACTGACTATGAAATCAGAAAACATCTAACAAAGAATGGGTGTGACCGATAAAGAACTAATTTTTGGTCTGGATCGGGATTAAGAGGGAATCTCTCCTCTCTCTCTCTCTCTCAGACATGTAAATTGAACATTTCATAATTATAAAATATGAAATTCTGTATACATGTAAATGGTAATGTTATTCACATGTTCCAGATTTAAATCTAAAACGAATATATAATTCAAATGCCTAGCTGCACGAACGTCTCCAAATATTAATCAAGACGGGGCGGGGGGGCTTCAAAGGAATTAGATAATTTTATGTTTTATGAATTATAAGGAAAAGTACGGACGTCAGTTGCATGTACATGATTATATATCATTGCATAAAATTGTGTTCATTCAGATATACTTATCCCACATATCAACAGATCTGTACAATTTTTTCATGTTTTTTTTTTTTTTCAAAAGAAACATATAGCGTACCATTATTTCACACACTCTTTAACTCTTTGAGTATTTCACAAGAATCCAACAATCGCCTTTTCACATCTTTTATAATTCCTTGGGTATATAGAGTATAGATCATGTGTCATAAATAATTTAACCTTTTATCAAATATATATGTAATAACCAAATCTAATCTATAGATTGATTTTCTTTCTTTTCAGTGGCAGATATCAATTTATTTATAAAGGCTTTAAAACGGTACTGTATTACAATTTTCTATCGCTTAATTCCTTTTTTGAGTGTATGTAATATTTTTTAATATCGAAAGTAAAACTCGGAAATCGGGATAATTTCGCATTCAGATCATAGAGAATAATAAATCGTCTGCATTATAGAAGGCTTATAACTATCGTATTCTGAACTTAATATACGAAATAGATAAAACTGCATGCCTGTCCATCACTATAAATGTATATTCAGTGCTTATAATATATTTACTTGAATTAGCTACCTAGCATATATATATTAATTTTTTTTAGATATATTCATGTGTAAATCAATTAACTGTCAATACAGACTTACACTACACTGGCAACTTCAAACTTTACATGCACTGGAAGCGGTAACCAACGTACTCTTAAATTTTGAAGAGTGAATATAGAACGTCTAAATATTTTGATATGGAGAGTGCATATGTCTCTGACGTCATCGATACTATTTCCGCCTTTATCTCGAAAGTTCTATTCTCACTTACAAGTCAGAGTTATCTTTCTTTGCCCATTGTCTACACACTAGGTAAATAGGGAAAATGAGGGTACCGAAAATCTGCAAAATGTGGAATCTGATTTCAAAACAAATTATATATTTAGTATTTGTAGAATAACCTCTGTTATACATAATAATATCTTGAAAAAATATTAAAAAACAAAAAAGTTGAAAATTGACCAAACACAAGTTCACTTCCGGTTCGGACAGGAAGTACCGGAAACACACGAAAACAACTTCGAAACAAAGAGAATGTCATGATCTAATACCCCTGTAAATTTCACATCTTTACCTCAAACCGTTTCCGAGAAAAATTCAGGACAAAAGTCCATTTAAAAATTGGAAATTCGGCCGTAACTTCGGACCGGAAGTGAATTTTTCAAAAAACGGAATTTCATATAAACTTCATATATCAGCCTACTATCATGTGAAAATCTATCCAACCATCTCTGAGTAATCGCGCTCACAAAATTTGGGAGGAATAATAATAATAATAATAATAATAATAAAAAGAAACAATACAATCACTATAAGTCTTCCGTTGTGAACGGAAGACTTAATAAGAAACAGAGTAAAAACAATATGTTCCCAAACTTCGTTTGGGGAACATAAATAATAAATATGATGAAAAGTGTGGAGATTCATATGTTGTGATGTTGAATTTTTTTTTTATGCATGTTATTTTTAAGCATTTAACAATTTAAATCATTCTTAAACTTTTAACATCTATCAAATGGTCTTGATGAAGTAATTATTATCAGTATATTGCCTATCAACAATGGACATTTGATCATTTAAAGATTTTAAGGTAAATGTTTCCAGTTTAAGAAGATGAGCTTGACAGTGGAGATGGGAGGAGGCCTGCCGATTTTGATGGATGACCTGTCCAGTGGTGACATGGAGATGCTGATAGAGCCTGGATCTGTTGTAATGCAGAGTGATCCATCTGATGCTTCACAAGGATTCTTACAGACAAATGTAGACTGGATTACCAAAGTCATCAAGTACCTCAAAAAGTATAAACAAGCTAATATCTGATGAAACTTCAGATTGATTTTGTACTTTGATTAAAAGAATTAGAATTGTGAGATTTGCCCTTGTAGACATAGGAAACACCTTATTCAGGATGCTGAGTTAGGATTTGCTGTTCTCCACTGTTCAACAGAGCAACATTGTAACCCAGATGTGCCATTCAGTAAGTTCAAGAATCATAGGTGTAAAGTAGGGCAGTGATTAAGTATCAAGTTATCTGGTCCTTTTTCTGATGGTGTACTTGATTCCCAAATCATTAATAACAGACTGACTCCTTATTTTGTATCTGTCATCATGTACAGTTGTACATGTACACGGTGTATTTATACTGATAGCTTCTACTGAATTCATTATACTGACAAAGGAATACATATTATAATATTCACTCACTAAAAAAATAAATAAATAAATTAAAAAAAAAAGCATTCATCAACTGAAGAATTTCATATACTCAGCATTTAATTAAAGTTAATCCTGTTAAATATGACGGGGTATTTTTTATCATGTTATTTATTGTTAATCTGATGTCTTCTATCCAGTTAAGTAATTCATCTTTAGTTATTCAGTGGTAATTTTGTATCTTAATTGTTTTATCCAGTTGAGTTATTCAGTATTTTGTGACTTAATTGTTTTATCCAGTTTAGTAATTCAGTGTTAATTTTGTGTCTTGTTTTTATCCAATTTAGTTATTCAGTGTTAATTTTGCACTTTGTTTTATCCAGTTTAGTTATTCAGTGTAATTTTGCACCTTGTTTTTATCCAGTTTAGTTATTCAGTGTCAATTTTGTACCTTGTTTTATCCAGTTTAGTAATTCAGTGTTAATTTTGCACCTTGTTTTTATCCAGTTTAGTTATTCAGTGTCAATTTTGTACCTTGTTTTATCCAGTTTAGTTATTCAGTGTTAATTTTGTGTCTTGTTTTATCCAGTTTAGTTATTCAGTGTTAATTTTGTGTCTTGTTTTATCCAGTTTAGTTATTCAGTGTTAATTTTATGTCTTGTTTTATCCAGTTTAGTTATTCAGTGTTAATTTTGTACCTTGTTTTATCCAGTTTAGTTATTCAGTGTTAATTTTGTGTCTTGTTCTATCCAGTGAGCCAGATACCACAGCCAAATGTTCCCTCTCAGTCGCTCACACAGACAGATGTACTGGCCCACAACACAGAACCAGGGAGCAGGTCTTACAATATATACTTTTTATCTGATTGATTACAGAAAAAAACAAGACATAATGCATGTAGAAAAATTTTCATTGTAATATTGTTTTTGTGTAAATATATGTTCATGAACTTAAAGAGAAATACAGGAGAAAGGAATTTAAGAATTGTTGGGAGAGAGTGAATTTGGATTTTAGAAGTCAGTGGATGTTGTATTGATTTCCACAGTCTTATCCTAAATAAAAAGATTTAAGTTAAACACTTTCAGAGGATTTAATGTATTCAAGATCCAAGCTTGCATGTTAATTTTCTAAATACATGTACACATGGTTACCACATTTAATGTTATGGAGCATTTTCATTCACAAGTACAGAAATGCATGTACCAGTGTTACATTTATCATTCAGTGTTATCCAATCTTCCATGATGGAGGTTCAGATTCAGAATTTTTTTCCCCATCATTAAACAACAAAAATATCTCATTATTCACTGTAGATCTCTAAATTTTCGCAACACCTAATTTCCGTGAGAAAGTCATTGACTTTTTATTAGAGAGACAGAATATTCACGAATTGTGGTTATTGCTCCATATAATCTTTAGAAAAACTAATATATGTTAAAATGAAATTAAACAATAAAGTCGTCGCGAATAAAAAGTCATTTACAGTACGTTTTTTTTGGTAACACTATATCATACATATATTGCACAAGTCAGAGAACTCTGGTTTTATTGTTTTAATTGATTTTTTGGTTTTTGTTGTATATGTAGATCTCCTGTAATTGAAAGAAAAAATGATCCTGTTCAAATTAATGAAACAAGAATAGAAACAAATGTAAGTCAAATTATACATTTTTACATAAATTAACATATTTACTCATATTTATCAAACAAATTTCAGTGGCAAAAACAGGACACATCTACTAAAATTTAAGTGCTAATGGCACTGTTGTTACCTTCATTTATAAAGCAGGACAAGTTGCACACGATTCCAGACAAGAAAGAATCACAAAAGACAGATCACAGAGTCCATAGAAGAATTTCAGAAAATGAAACCATCAGGGAGACAACCCAGCTGGGGACAGTTGAACAAAGTGCATCTAGGTAAAAGTATTAATACATGTATCTCAAATTGCAGAAATTTGATTTTTTTATTAGACCATGTGAGCATTTTTATGCCACTGTAATTGAAAATTTGCAGGTATATAGTTTGCATGTCTGTTTGTCCTTTTACATGTATTTGCAGAAACTTTAACCTTGGCCAAAACTTTTGAATGACTGGGGCTAGGGCTTTCATATTGCATATTTTTATTCCTTGTGACAAGACCTTTCCTCGGATATCAAAATTTTTTATCTCATGACCTTGACCTTGGAGTTTGACCTACATTTGAAAATTTAAACTTCAACCATGTCTTAAACTTTTAAATGGTGGGTGCTAGGGCTTTCATATTTCATTTATATATTCCTTGTGACCGACCTTTCCTTTGTTACCAATATTTTGTGACCTTGGCCATAGAGTATGACCTACTTTTTATAAACATTAATATAATTTCTTAATGGTTGGTGCTAGTGCTGTCAGAGGAGACCTTTTTTTGGGTACTAGCATTTTTGACTTCTTGACCTTGACTTTGGAGTTTGACCTGACACTGCGTCAACAGTGTTTCATAAACACTTTTTTTTTCTTAAGGGAGGGGGCGGGGCTATTCAGAAATCAATGTACACTGTTATTTTTTAATGACAGCTAATTATGTAGCATTTTCTAATCTTTACCTTCCTTTTGATTTTACTTCTGTATTCCCTATTGTGTTCTAATAGTCTCTCATGGGACAGACTAAATGATCTATATTGCTCTATGATAGTTTATATTTTTTTGATTTATACATGTATCTGAAAATACATGAATAGCTTGGCCTTCAAACAAGATTCAGTCAATAAAGAATATTTTTTCCAAGTTTTGAAACAGTAGCAGCAAATTCAAATTTACTGGGGATTTAAGATGCAAAAAAGCCATTACTTTGGAAAGGGATGCATCATTATGATTATTTGTTGATTATCATCAATGATTTAATAACAGACATGTAGCACACATCAGGAATCAACTTAGAGGGTACATTCAGATGATCTCTGGAAAAATGAGGATTCCTCCCTTGTCTGCAAAAATTTAGAATTCTTGAAGACTTTGAAAAATAATGTAATACTGGTTTGTTTCAAGTATTTGGTATCTAATCTGACTGAAAATGGCTTGGAAATGTTTGTTTGTTTATTGTTGTTTAACGTCCCTCTCGAGAATTTTTCACTCATATGGAGACGCCACCACTTATCGGTGAAGAGCTGCAAATTTTGACCTATACGTGGCACTCAGGGCCATTGAGCAGTGAGGGATCTTTCTCGTGCCAGCACCTACTGCAACACGGGACCTCGGTTTATATGGTCTCATCCGAAGGACTGGTCTCCACGTCCCACAGTGGGATTCGAACCTGCAACGTAAGGATCAACTCCTTACTCTGCGACTCTAGAGCAAACGTTCTAACCACTGCGCCACGCAGACTTCGGCTTGGAAATGAGGATAAATCTTTTAAATTTTAATGATAAATCTTATAAAGAAAAGCTGAAATTTACTTTCTATCATCAAAAATGAGACAAGCACTCATGTTGGACAGACTGTACTGTGTAGCTCAGTTTTACAGATACTGTTTAAACTTAAGTGATGAATATTTTTGAGAGCAATTAAATAAATCAAAAATCTGTCTATGACATTCCATATAACCTTGAACTTACCTTTCCATCTTTTTGCATTTAGCTTAGTTTGTTTTAGATACAGTAAAACACGGTTATATTAAACATGCTTATAATGAATTAATGCTTATAGCAAAGTGATTTTCATTTCCTATAGTTAGGAACATGTGCTTAAAGTATTTAAGGAACTACTTTTATAACAAATCAAAATTGCTCATTCCTTTGCTAAAAACATGTTTTACTGTATTTGTTGTCAAACATTACTGATGGCACAATTTTGGCAGTGGCACATTTTTAAAATTTTGCAGTACATATGCATAATTAGTCTAGGTTTATGTCCTTTGAACATATTTTTTGATGCTTTAAAATGTCCTTATTAGTTAGGATGATTCTTTCTAACCCCAGTAGGTTTATTTCAAGTTTTCCAATTTTAGAAATGAAGCATCTGAATCAGTGGATGGGCAGTGTTTGGGAAGGCAGATCAAAAAAGAAAAAATAACTCCTGAAAAACCAGAATTTAAAAGACAAAGTCCAAGAAGATCACCTAGTCCATCCACATCAAGACATTCACCGAAAAAAAGGTCAACAGAGAAATCAAACAAGTCACCTAGTCCAGGCCCATCAAGTAAGACAACATTGTCCAGAAAATCTGCTGGGAAGGGAAAAGAAACTCCTTTAATGACTGATTTCAAAGTGGAATCAAATGTAGATTCGGAGGAGTTAAGCACAGTGTACGAGACAGAAAAAAATAAGGCATCTGTGAGTGTAGACTTGGGAGAGAGTGAGTGGTCCTCAAAACAGAGAAAGACAAGCAAGACAGACTCAAGATTGTCACTGAGGAAACAGAGTCCTGAAAAGCCGAGCCCCGCTCAAGTGACATCGAGTGGGAAAACTAGGGAGAAAAGGAGGATCATTGTCGAAGATTCAGATGAGGAATTCCTACCAAGTTCAAAGAGATCAAGAAATCAACCTCAGATGGAAGAAGAGGTGGACTTATTTGATGTAAATTCAATTCGGCCACGAGGCTCTCATTCAAAATCTGATGATGCAGATGAAGAGGACTTGTTTGATGTAGGGGTCTCCAAAGCAAGCAAGAAATCAAAACCGAACTCTAACCAACAGAAGACTAGCAGCAGAAACTTGTCTGAAGAAGCGGGATCTGATGAGGATCTGTTTAATGTTGAGGAGAGATCCCCTAAAAAGTCATCAAAGAAATCTCCAGAGAAAACATCATCCAATGGAGAGGGGAGTACAGAAAGAGTGTCCAGAAGATTGGAAGAAGAAAGAAACAGCATAAGAATCAAGAAAGAATTACCAGACGTTAGTACACATGTACTTTTATATATATACTTAGTACATCTGCTTTATTTAGCAATTTTAAGGAAGATCTATTATGACTGTTGATGTTCTAATGAACACAGATACAGTACATACTTTATACATACTTGTACACAATTTATAGGTGAATGGACACGGAGAGGAAGTGACTGGTACAAGAACTCAACCTGTAACTCTAGATGGTTTTCTAAATGCCAGGGCACAGATAGGGGTCTGTATTTTGAGTCTGTCATCTTGTAAAATTATAAAAAAGATATAAAAAAGTACAGTAATTGCCATTAAATGTATGAAACACAATTTGAAAAATAAGACAGTTACATGTAGGATAATGTATGTGATGTAATTTGAACAACTATGTTGAAGCATGGTTATGCACCACCTTGTACATAGTAAAATTAGAATATAAAAGTTTGTATATATTTACCGGTAACTGTGCTTCATTATAGACTGCAGCCATAAAGTCAGAGTATATAAAGGAAGAGGATAAGCCATCCAGGTGTATTGTTACAAAGTTTGTAGATCTGGTAGCCCGTCCTCCACGATCAGCGCCAATGGATACAGGGGAGGCCACTCCTGATGGGTATACCAGATGGAAAGGCAAACTGGTTAGGAACTTCAAGAAATTCAAGAAGGTAGAACTTCTAATCAAGAACCCTCTATACACTGCACACAAAAGATCTCTGTTTCAGTAGTATTTTTGTGGAGTAAGAGTAATCTGCCCTTAGATCTCAAATTTAATAAATTGAAATTACAGTCTGTTACTCAATTTGTAGTTAATGCAAACATTCTTAATTTTTGAATATTCCAAGATAAATGAACTGAACTCTCTATTTGTATGCATTTTCCCCATTTAAGTAAACAACAGTGATTTCTCTTAATCAATACTTCAATGTCTTTGAATATTTTTCCTGGGACTAAATTCCACGAACCCTATGTTGAAAATGGAATAAGCTTATTATTTATACAATATCATTTTCTCAATGTCCAAAAAAGAAAAAACATTTTTAGTGTTTAGAGTATCCTTAATTAAATGAACCAGAACCAATAAAGGAAATGGAAAATGGTGTATTAAAAAAATGATGCAAATAGAAATAAGTTATCTCAAAACTTTATACACATACTTATGATTGTCAGACCAGGTTGTGATTTAGCCATATACAGCCAAACCTCATTATCTCAAACTCAATGGGACTGAGAAAAAACTTGAGATATACAAAGGTTCAAGATATTAGATTAAAATGCAATAAGAATGGCATTTGAGATATCAGAGTTTGAGATACGGAAGTTCAACTGTATAATTATTATGAGCCAAAATGTAGTCAAGATTTAGTATCACTGTGTGTGAATCTGCTTCATCGGTACTTAGATATGTGAGTGTGTGTGAGGGTGGGTGTGTGTGTGTGTGGCACAACCAATCAGAGCAGTTTACTTTAAGCATTCTACACATACAAATATTAAACTTCAAATACACTACATTCAGACTTATTAACCTAGTTACAGACAGTTGATCAAAGGTTAGAATTGTTCATTTATAGCACTGTAATGACTGTATGTATTTTTCTGCATTTTATACTACTGTAAATAAGAAATGTGCACCCAGAGTTCCAGACTGATATACCTGGTACACAACATAAAAAAAATCTTGTGTACTTGTCTGACACACAGAGCACTGTTTGCAGAAAACAAATAATTAAACATTATATAAACCTATATTTACTAGCTCACCTGAACGAAAGGTTCAAGTGAGCTTTCTGATCACCTGACACCCGTTGTCTGAATTAACTTTTCACATTTTGGATTTCTCCAGAATCACTGAACCAATTTCAACTAAACTTACCAAATAGCATTCTTGGATGCCCTCTTTAAAGGGGAGATAAGCAAGAAAAAGAATAAATTTGGTGGGTTTCTGAAAAATCTTCTTAAGAGTTCAGCCAGAAAAGAGACACATAGTGTAGATTCAAATTTGTTCAAATCATGGCCTCCAGGGGTAGGGTGGGACCACAATGGGGATCAAAGTTTAACATGGGAATATAAAGGGAAAAATCTTGAAAAAAATCTTCTTGACTACAAGAGTATCTTGATAGTCATATTATTATGCAAGTATCCTCAACTAGTGCAGATTCAAATTTGTTCAAGTCATGGCCCCCAGGGATAGTGTAGAGCCACCATAGGAATATATAGGGGAAAAAAATCTGATAATGAAGAACAGATGGGCCATAGTAAATCAGGTGAGTGTTGTGGCCCATGGACCTCTTGTCTTAGTATGTCCTTTATTTACACACAGAACCAGAATTGTGGATCCAGTGGACTTCCTCGCATTATAGGTGGCAGTGACCTGCAGCCACATGTCCCCGCCCAGAGCAAGGAAGTAGAAGAGTGGTTCAGAGAGGCTCGAGAGGTACTCTAATGTTTTTGATTAGCACTTTGTCAATAAAATATATTTCTAGTCAGATAGGTCCATTTGAAATCATTTTGAAAATTTAATACTCATAAAATCAATTTACGAAGACAAGTGTGTATTTGAATGTCAGAATTTGAAAGGATGAAAATTCTGTGGATTCTTTGGTTGGCTTGCCCTGTTCACACGGAGAGTTTAATTCGAATTAAACGTAAGTTACTGCGAATTAAATTTGAACATTGTTCACACAGGGAATTTAATGCAATTTAGTTTAATTCAAATTAGTTAACTGCGCATTAAATTACTTCGCACTAGCTCCGTATGAATGCTAAGCAAAGCTAATTCGAATTAAATTTTGACGCATGTGTAATGGCAAAATTAAGTCAGATGTAGGTTGTCAGACATAGGTACTTATGCTATTTTGTAGTGAAGAACAATGGAATTACGTTAATCACTGAAATGTGTAGAGACACTATGACATTATGTCAAATGGATCTGCTCTGCATAAGGTGACGTAATTTGAAAATGACGTCTTAATAGCCTTACTGAATAGCCTTACTGTAGAAACAAAATTTTAATTCGCATTAGCTTACTTCACATTAGCTGTCGTGTGAATGCAATTTAATTAGCATTAGTTTAATTCACATTATTTTTCTTTGCATTAAGTTACTGCGAATTAAACTCTCCTTGTGAACAGGGCATAAAAATCCTGATAAAATGAAAGATGATTTATCTATAATTGTGTTATTACAGGCAGAAAGCCAGGAGACGGAGGCTGAGAGAAGGGCACAGGAGTTGTTTGAGTAAGTGTCTGATCATGAATGAATTTCTTGTTCCCAAACTGTAAAAACAGTTGTAAAAGCATTTTTGTAAAGCTGTTATATGTAGCAGAGATGCATGCTTACTGTTTTTGTTTTCTTTTTAGCTTTGAACCAAGTAAAGTGGGGAACAAAAGAAGAGGCCGTTAAAACACATTATTGAATTGTTTTGAGAGACTGTTATATGTTAATGGAATAAAAATAAAACTTGTACAATATATTATTGTCTTTGGATAAGAAGTTTGTAATTTTAACATTTCTTAACCAACTGAAAACGTACATAAAGGTATCAAATCACAGCCAGCATTTACCATCAGAATAAGAACTGTAGTCTTTCAGATGAAGCAGAGACTGAAGATTGTTGGATAAAAAAAAACTTTTTATTAGAAATGAAGTGTAAAATGTCCATGGTTATAGACAAGTACCGGTAGATTGAATAAATTTAAACTTAACCATAACAAAATAAATTTTGTTCAACGTGGATACTCTTGAAGATCCAATAAGGACATTTACATTTACTAGTGAGGACTATGTACCTGTGTGCAGTGGAATGTCCAAATGTGAAAAATGTTGCTCATAACAATATTTAACAACTTCTAAAAAAAAAAGTATGAATAAAAGGCTATTGGTACTTTGCGGAACGAAACGGAACGGAACGAAACCAGTTGTGGGGTACCTTGTGGGGGAAATAAAAATGAATGTAAAACTAAAAAAAATAAATAATGTAATTTAATTAACATAAATTACTCCACAGTGTCAAGTAGCGAGCTGTAAAATAAAATGCCTGTAAGCTAGTTAAAGCATTAATTTTTGCTGACATCTCTAGTTACTATGTAAACAGTATTGAATGATTGATATTCTTCTATTAACGATGCATTCCTATCCAAATTTACCGTCAAGAACTTCGGTACATCGTTTATTTTGTTTACTGACAAGTCTGTATAGTAAAGAGAGTTGTCGAATTATACCGCAACATGACATGATTCTCTGGTTCCGTTCCGTTCCGTTCCGCTAAATACCAATATCCGTGTGGATATTAGTATTTAGCGGAACGGAACAAAACACAGCGAAATTGAATACTTGTAATGTTAAGCGCGCAAGCACTCTGTTATTTTTTCAATTAAATTATAAAAAAAATTATACCCTGTATTTTAAATTTTGAAAAGCAATATGAAAAAGACAAGGACAGTTAGAATCAATATGCCTGATTTTTAATTAGATTTTTGACTTTTCAGAAAGACTATAAAATCGCACATGTACGCACATCATTATCATTTTATAATTTATTATTATATATTTATATATTTATATATTGCGGTCCTTGATGCTGATAATAAAACTCAAATACCTTTTCTCAATCAATTGAAACATTTATAGACTAGTTTCAATAGTATTGTGTAACGTTATATGTGTAATGTGTTATGGGCCGACAGAAATGTTAGCTAATTCAACATTTATTGATACATTTATAAGGTTCAAATTTACACTCTTTATAATGGACATTATATATCTGGTTCCGTTCCATTCCTCAAAATACCCAAATCCGTGTGGATATTAGTATTTAGCGGAACGGAACAAAACACAGCGAAATTGAAATCTAATGATGTATATGCAAGCACTCTAGCTGTTGTTAGACAATTAATCTAATTCTTTTTAATTATGAAAAGTGGAATTCCGTCTATTCAATTTAGATAATCAATACTCAAGAGACAAGAAAAAATTTTTCCCGGATTTTTTTCCCAGATTGTCGCAAAGGAAAGTTGCTATTATCTCTTTTAGAGTGTGTACATGCAGGAAGGTTGAAAATATATTGATCTTGATGTCTTGAGGGAATCTGACAGGGTATTATTAAGAATTGTGTTTTTTTTTAATTATGTACGACCAGGTCATGAAATTATGGCTGATAGAGGATTTAAGATTAGAGATTTGTTGTTTTAATTAAAATTAGAAAGGCATTCAAAGCTTGTAATTCTACCTTTTACCAAGAAATTTTATTCAAGTGTCTTTGAATAAAAATCATTTCAAACAATCAAAAACATTTCTATACTTACACTGTTGACATTTGGGATACTTAACGATGTCACTTTTAATTATTTGAATGCAGGAGCTTTTTCTCAGATTACCATGTAATTAGATATTAAGTCATCTAAAAATAATATAATAAGATTTACCGATAAAGAATAGCAGACTGAAACTCATAAAATACTCGTACATTTATAAATATGATTCAAGGGTAACTTGGTTCCGTTTCGTTTCGCTAAATACTAATATCCACATGGATATTGGTATTTAGCGGAACGGAACGGAACCAAAGAATGGTCAATGTTGGCAAAGCGAGATAACTCTCTTTACTTTGGACGTGTTTATAAACAAAACGATATTTCTTTAGCACTGTATCCAAGCATTTGGATCAAGTCATTTTACATCAATAATTAATACATATCAATCACTCAATACAGTTTACATAGCAACGACAGATGTCACACCAGATGAAAAACCCACACGACAAAATAATGTATACATGTATGCTGAGCATTTTACTGTCCTAAAGGTTGTTGTAACGCTAAGTACTTCATTCATCCAATATATTATGCATATAATAACATTTACATAATACCAAATATGGTATATAAAAATGCTGAGCAATTGAGGAAAAGATATTTGCGTTTTCATTTTTAACATCATCTAAATCCATATTTATCACACTTTTTTCACAATCAAACAATATCAAACCACACATTGAAAAAATTGTGTCTGCTGTGTATTGCACGCCGATTGCTTCAAAATTATTTTCTGCACAACGATCACGATTTTATACACGAGCTTGATGAAAAATATACACGAGTAAAATAAAAATGCACGTATCGGTAAAAATTGCACATAGTTTGAAAGATTTTAACACAAACATAACGAAAAATACACGAATCCAAATTTTTTACACGATTAAGGGGTATAAAATGCACAAACGTAAAATCAAAAACTGCACGAGCAGAGGAAACTAAAAATTACACAAACAATTTTACTGCGCATACAGCTGCGCATATCATTATTATGCATATAGAATATTCATTGTTTTCTGTACTCTTTTTCTTGAATGCTGGGTGTAATCGAGAGAAAATGGCGTTGACGATGATATGCATGTCCGTTTGCTTCTTTATTTCTTTGCTAAAACTCGATCCGATTTCTAGCTAATGCCAATCGAACGAATGAAATGTTTTCTTGTGAACTGTGTGAAAAAATTTAAAAGTTGTTCGGAGATATTATATTTTTCTTATATTGACCGAGATCCTAGCCAAAATATGGAGGTATTATATGATGCCGGACATAAATTGTGACAAGAAAGGAATTGCATGTTTGTGTTATAATGCGGGGAAAAAAGTACCATTGCATATGATGCACTCGACTCCGAACTAAAAGTAATACGCTCTATGGTCTTTTAAAATTCTCTAACTTATAGATACAACTTTAACGGAAAGTACTTGTATAAAATAAAATTAACACATGCGTAATAAAACAATTAATAACGTGGATTCTTCATGAAAATGATGGCAGAATTATTGCTGATTATAATCATTAAATTGTAGAATTCATTTTGGTACTTCTCATTTGTACTAATTATGAATTCATTTGGGCAGATTTTTTTTCATAGATTAAAAAGTGGGAATTACCTGACCTTAGATATATACAGTATGTTTTTAAAGTCAAACATAAAAAAAAAAAATTCTAATTATACATGTATCTTTACTTATAAAATATGAGAATATCAATTTTGGTTGGACATCTGTAGCCTACACTGTTATGAATTCCTTCCATGATATCACATATTTTCAGTCATAAACTACTCAATAAAAAAACAAGACATTCCTAAGGGTAAGCGTTACCCTCATTCGTAATGGCGATTACTCGATAAATGTTTTCACTTTTAATAAATAGGACCAGATAAAGGGAAAATATATATACTCTGTGTGCTTTAGTACATGCGGTTTTGTGTTTTGTTACTTAAAATTTGTCCAAATGAAATAACAAAACTCAAATGATCCTGGCACCGGTAAAACATATCATCAGTGGCGGATCTGGTTCGTGGATTGATAGAGTAGCAACATCTGAATCTATGTATTTATTAAAGTTTCAAATCGTTGGACCATAATGACACATCAGAAATTTTAAAACATAGTGAATTACTAAATACATCTACGTACAATGTTACAAATAAGAAAATGGGAAAGGATATTATAATAAATAGAAAGAACAAAGAATGTGTTGTATCACTCTTAAATAATGCAAATAAATCATGTTCTTTATGGAGCTCGAGGTTTGACAAATATTTTCCAAGACAACAATTTCTCTTTACATTTCGAATTCGTATGCATAAAATTTTAATTTTTTTCCGAACACGAAGTTTTTGTAATAGGCTAACACTTTTTTACCCAAATCTATAGTCATTATAAATAGAACATGACTGTATAATTATAAAATGAAAATAATCTTCAATAACATTCAAGGAACATATTTGATACAAGATTCACTTTTTAAAAGACTATTCATGTGCATATCTAACGTTTTTGAAAAATCAGATTATGAGTTAAAAAGCCTAATCTATGCAATTTGTATTTTGTACGAATACATGTACAAATAATTAAAAAGTTTGCTTTATAGCAATATTGTACATGTGTATCAATGGCATCAACCAGGTCTTGTTTTACTTCGAGCATGACTACGAATAAATATAAGAAAACATATGATGACCTCAAGAAATCTTTGTTTTATTACCGTGTGTTTATTATTGTCAAAATCTGCACATTGAAAATAAATGTGCATGTGTAGCCAAGTCCCAGCTAATTAAGTTCATCTTGTATGTCTTCTTGAATATGGTCTTACAATATCGTTACAGTTCAGTTGAATTGCAATCCTGATTTCGATAGACTATTTTATGTACCCTTAAATTCTTAGAAAATATTTCAGGCTGCCGTAGCATCAGGAGGGGTCTGCCCTCCCCATTTCTTGGAGTTTTTATGAAATCACCACACGCTGCACAAAAGTTAAGACTACATGTACTACATGTACCTTGTTACATACATATACCAAAAAGTGAGATATGCGTTTCAATATTAAAATTTAAGTTGCACAATTAATATTTGCTCGATTTTCTTTACTGTTGACTTCCAAAAAGTTTTCGGTCAAATTCCACAACCCAGATGATCGCAACATTGCTTCAAAAAAAAAATTATGAATTGCTAGTAATATAATCTTTAATCAAAAGGTATTATTGGTGTGTCAAATAGCTATAAATCGATTAGCGTACATGTGTCTTTCGTTCCAGAACCAGCAGGGAAGGATCTCTCTATGAAAAGGTCACGCATGCACATCCTTGATTATTACCAAAAGTACACACAGTAGGTGGTGGAGGAGAAGAGTTTGATTTGTTGTTAACTCTCCTGTATTATATCACATGTTTTTATTTATTTTTATTTGGGCCTATATGTCATTGTTTTAAACTTTCAAAAGAAATTGCTTTATAGAGGAATGACATACTTTTAAAAATCCAACAATTAAACACACAACTGGTAATATGCATCCCCCTTTTTTACGTTATCTATACAAGTATTCTGTGAAGAATGTTTTTTTTTTATTCGGGGTTGTTCATATACTACAAGTTTAAGATTGTGTGCCTGTCAATTTATCTACATGTATAATATACTTTGTACATATATTCTTGAGAGTCTAGCGGAATTTTAAAAGAATCTTTTTTAAAAAGATTACCAACACGTTACTCCTCCTTTTGTAAAAATTTTATAGTATGTTTCAAGCATCCAAACCACATTGAACTGTTCTCTAATGAATATTAATGAAATGTGCGCAATGAGGATGCGTAGCATATTATGTCGATGTTGTATTCTCACTCGTGCAGTTTTCGTTTTTACGTTTGTGTAATTTCCTCACTATATCGTATAAATATTTTGTTGATTGTGCAGTTTTTCTATAGTTTGTGTAAATTTCAATAGCTTCGTGTATATTTTCCTCACTTTGTGTAAGTTTTTACTTACTCGTGTAATTTTTGTTTTAGGTCGTGCAGAAAATAATTTTGAAGCAATCGGCGTGCCATAGCTGTGGTATTTTTTTTTAAATTTAATTTTATCTTTCTCTTCAATAGGAAACCTATGGTTTCGTTTCGTTCCGCAAAATACCAATACCCGTGTGGGTATTGGTAATTTGCGGAACGGAATGGAACAATATATGGCTATCGTGTATTTTCTTTTCTTTCTTTTTTACATAAAAAAATATAACTTTAAAACGGAATGTTTAATAAATATTAATTAACATTTATTACAAAATATATTCTCTTTATATATCCATGTTACTGAAGAAATTCATTTTCCTGCAGAGTATGATTTAAAAATAAAATCCTACGCGAAGCGTAATACGCCCTCTGGTGCGAGATTGTATAAATAATTGTATGCAAAATTATTGCTATCACAAACATTATATAACACAACAATCATGGGTAATTCGGAATATTCAAAATGACTGTATTACGCAAATTAGTTTACCTCATAGAATATTTCATTTTTAATGAAAAATATGACATTCATGTAACAACTTATTTCTTCATATATTTCATTTCATTGTGTTTCGTTTCGTTCCGCTAAATACTAATATCCACACAGATACTGGTATTTAGCGGAACGGAACGGAACGTATTTGAGTTTTCTTATCAACATCAAGACCAGTGTCGTAAATACATTACTATAATGACAAATAATCAAGCTTTATGAAAAGTCAAAAATCTAATAAACATTCTTGCTTGACCTGATTTTTTCGTCTTCAAAGATGGTTTCTAATCTTTCGCGTCTTTGTTATATACATGTATTTTCTTTTAATGCGGAATTTCCTTTGAATAACAACAGGGTGCTTGCATATGTATCATATTAACATTTCAATTTCACTGCGTTTCGTTCCGTTTCGCTAAATACTAATATCCACACAGATACTGGTATTTAGCGGAACGGAACGGAACCAGAGAATTTCGTAATGCTGGCAAAGCGGGACAACTCTATTTTCTATATTGACGTGTTGGTAAAAAATAAAATAGATGAATGATGTATCCAAGTTCTTGACGGAAAATTTGGATAGTTTTTTTTCTTTTTTTAAACATAAATAATAAATCAATAATAAATGCATATCAATCATTCAATACAGTTTACTTAGTAACTACATATGATGCAGCCTCTGAAAAACCAACACGACAAAATAATTATAAACTAGCTCTTACAGGCATTTTATTTCACAATTCTTTAATTGATACTGTAGAGAAATTTATGTTTAGCTATTAAAAAACATAATGTATCATAATAAAGTAGCATTTTATTTTCATTTCTAATCCCCCCCACAAGGTACCCCACAACTGGTTCCGTTCCGTTCCGTTTCGTTCCGCAAAGTACCAGTAGCCGAATAAAAAAAAAGCTAATTTCAGTGATTTTTTTTAAAAATCCGTATATTTAGCCAGATATAAAAACACACACAATACACCATCCTGAAACCAGGGACGCATATTAGTCTTGTCTCATTGTCCCTTGCACTTCGTTATTACTGGGGTCTCCTGCTGAAATCGAGCTCTGACTGTACCTATTATCCGGAAATCAGAAGGTTGTCTAGTAAGGTTTTTCACGTTATCGTTGACTCGATGTTTCCAGTTTACAGAAAAACGCGGGGACGGCAAAGAAAAGTGATCGTATGCGTTGATGCATAGTTTTATGAGTATTTCACTTGAGTTAAGCATATTTAACACTGTAAGATCATCTTATTAGATTACTGGAATAACTAGAATATTGACATCACGGTCAAAACATTTTGGTTCATTGTGTTTTGGGGGATCACTTGAGCTCGTGTAGGCATGCTGATGGAAATTGTTGACAGAAAAGAAATATTAATTAAAAAATACGTTCCTGGTTGTATTATATGACATATTCATAGAATAAATGATGGTAACAAGAAATCTTGTACTTCAGAGATTTTGCACAACCATAGGGGTTGGGTTTCAGGTGGTTTATTGTTCAGGTCTGGTACAATCACTATTTAGCTACTGAATCAAACTTTTTTCTTAAATTAGCATATTCCTCAGGATGTGCAGAAAATTGCACTTTGATGCAGTGATAAATTTTCAACTTTAAGCTCATCTGAAAACAATTCATGAAAAAATCACTCTTGGAGATGTGTCTTTTTCTGTGCATTTTCAATCAAAGTTTTACAAGTTTTGGGGCTATATACAACAGTTAATTTCTGACCAAACAGTTACTTCTTGAATGAAATAACAAAGAAAACCAGTTCTGGTTAACATGAGCACAATTGAGAAGCAATCATACTTATCCATGCCTCATCGCACACAAGGTGGTGTACAGTTACTCAAACAATGGAAATGCATCTTTTCCTCAAAAGTGTTCAAACGCAGCAATGTTAAAACTATCTCTGCATTGGATTGCTTTTTAAATAATCCCTAGTATAAAATTTATATTAGTAGTCATTTATTTGCGATTTTTTGTCTTTTTAAAATAAAAAGCAAAATTGTGAAAAGTTGCCTTGAAATAGCTAAATAAAGCTACCTGAGGTAGGTAAATAAAGCTATGGTAGGTAATTTTAGCTACGTAGCTAAATGTACTGGACCGGTTGTTCATCTGTGTCTGTCTTGTGACACGATTGCAGTGTTTTTCTTTGAAGTTTGCTGTTCTGTATTAGCAATACAGAACGAGAGCACAGTGGGCGGAGCTACTTTCCGTTCTGTATTAGCCCTGTATACTGTCTTGTATTAGCCAACTGTTCTGTATCTAAAATACAGCACGGTCTAAAAATAAATCTGATTCAATTTATCAAAAGTACGTACAAATAGTAAATGCTGATTTTTTTCCGATCATAAATTTTGAAGAAATATTTCCTTAGGAATGTAAAATGTCAAAATGTCTCAATCACTTTAAAAAAATTATTCCACACAGAATCTACAAGTTATTTCAATCCAAACGAAAAGGAATATTTGCAATTATGGAAAACATCCTATGTTGGATAAATTCCTGAAAACCTGTTTGCTTTCCCTGCTTTTTGTGTCCCCTTCAAAATAGTAAAGCCAATGGGTTCGCGGATGCAGCATACATTACGTGAAATTCGCACTCCCCTCCCCCCATTTTCCACTCTTCTCGTACAAACTCAAGTCCATTTTTCAGGGTTTTTTAAAAAAAAATTCATCTTAAATCCTTATCGCTGATGACTGCCACACATCTCTTTCACTTCGTTTTTTATGTCGCATTTCATTAAGAAAATAAAAATCCGTAACTTCGATCAAAGTCCATCGAAAAACTGTCTGTATCACCTGTATGTGTATCTAGTTTAACTGAGATTTTAAGACCCCTGAAATAAATTAGGATCAATCTCCATCTACAACAAGGTTAAATCGTCCACCATATCAATTAAGACTAACTTCAAGTCTGTTACGTCTACCTCGTTGTCAAAACTAATCTGACTAAATCTTACGTTGTCCGTGGAAATATATATACTGCGGATGTATACTCCCCGTCAAGGCCTCATCTACAGAGAGAACAAACGAACTCTGGCGGAAGTTTGGATGCTGCACAGCTATGAAGTGGGCAGTGCTTTTTTTTGATTGATCGTGTCACAAATCATTTAGAGAACTCGACAGGTTCTGTATTGTAGATACAATTTGGGGATGGAGACTTGTGCTACGCACTCGTCCACCCCAAATTTGTATCTACGATACAGTATCTGTCTCGTTCTCTAAATAATACTTACACAATAATATACATGTGAATCAAAACCGAAAACCACCCAAATTAGCAGTTTTTAATATTTTTATGTACATTAAACAAGTCCAGCGCAATCTCTTAATTTGGCTATATAGCTTGAATTGGTGATAAAGCTTTATTAAGCTATTTAGAATTGCTTTATAAAGATATATGTACCGTATATACTCGCCTATAAGTCGTTTTTTTGGGAGTTAAACTTTGGTCCAAAACTCTATATCCGACTTATACGCGAGTTATAAAAAGACTGGTATTTTAGCAGGTCAATCCCTCTAATTCAAACTTAAGAAATACAACCGACTTATAGGCGGACCGACTTATAGGCGAGTATATACGGTATGCATTTTTTTCACAAATTAAAATGATTTTGTAAGAAATAGACAAGAAGTTGCCAGTATGTGATTATTCATATATGTATTATGAGTGATCAAAAAAAACAACTCAAAGATGGCTTTAACATTGCAGCTTTTGAAGACTTTTAAGCAAAAGATGTATTTCCATTGTTTGGATACCTATACTGTACACTACCTTGTGTGCATTGAGGTATCGATAAGTATGATTGCCTCACATTGTGCTGAATTATTGCTAAGCAATTATTTTGTTGACCATAATTAAATTTCTTTATAATTTCATTCTAAATGTAAATGAATGGTCACAAATCAATTGCTTTTAATATTTAGCCCTAAAACTTTTAGAACTTTGAGTGCGAAGTCTCTGAGGAGACATAATTTTATGAGCAATTTATACATTCACTGTTTTCAGAACTGTTCAAAGATGAAAACGTCACTGCACCAAAGTGCATCATTTTGTAGATGCTTACAAATAAGACATTAAAGAAAAAGTGTGATAAAATAGCTAAATCAAACTATTCTGAATAACTTAACAAAGCTGTATAACTAATTCAAGCTATATAGCTTAATGAAGAGTGGTGTTGGACCTGTTTAAAAAAGTTCTTTTTTTATGTACATAGAAATGCAATGTTTTTTTAAAATGCTTATATCAACATTTTTTGGTTTTAGTTTTAATCATACTTAGACAGACTTAGGTAAACACACAATACACTAAATACACCATCCTGAAACCTAGCCTCTGTGGGAAAACCCCATTGCTTAATACAGTAAAACACACTTATAACGAAGTGCTAGGGAGGGGCGATTTTGCTTCATTATAAACATAATTTGTTATATCCGTTAGCTTCACAATATGTTTAAAACCCACGGAGAATGAAAATCACCTTGCTATAAGCGTCAATTCTTTATAAGCGTATTCGCTATAAACGTGTTTTATTGTATTTGGGTAAATGTACTCTAGGAAAAGTTGTTCTAAAGAGGGTTAAGTACAGCTTTTCTGGAAAAAAAAACTTGCAACTTACCAGTACACATGCTTTTTTGTGACATTCTCAATAATTTGTTATTAACTGGATGAAGGAATTCTTCAGTATAACTTAATTTTCTTGGGTTTGTTTGAATGTAATGCTAAAATATTTTGAATTGATTAGATTTACAAATATTCAAAGAGGCAAAATTAATTTTTCATGATTCTTACATTTCAGAGAAGCTACCTTCAACATGGGACTTTGGAGGTCCGTTAGAAAACTAGACAAGACTGTTCTGGGCCAAAGGTTAAGGAGTTTGAACATTAACTTCCAGAGATCAAAACATGTTGTATCTTCACAAGAGTGTCTGACATATTCCAGACTCTCCATTATCCTCCAAAGAAAATACCGAGTGGCTACAAGCAGATACTACTGCACAATAGAGACAACTCCACAAAACAAAGATGGGGAGATCCAGGAGACAGATATACCCCCTGAGGGAAGTCAGAACAAAAAGAGAAGTGTTAGTATGAAAAGTACGATAAGGAATTTTCTGATGAACCACAAACTGCCTGTCGAGTTGGGCCACACTCATTTTATTACATCTTGTCATGTTGCAAAGTCTGAAGTTCCACCTGGGAAGAAAAACTTGTATATTAATTATAACACAGGTATCAATTCTATAAATTTATCTATTAAATACCCATTTTGTTATTTATTGTGATGTTTAAATATGTTAAACCTTTTGAAGAAAATAAAACTACTTTTTCACCAGAAATGAAATTAGTTTCAAGGTAAAATTTTAAGAAATGTACAATTTCTAAATTTAAGGATCATTTGTATGTACCACCTGTCAACATTTTGGAGAATGGTCAAGTCTTAGAAAGAAACTTCTCTCTGATGCAAAGGCAGAAAATTTGTAAGTAATTACCTTCAAACAATTTGACAATGCATGCTTTGTGCTCTTGTCATATTCTCTTTTTGAGTTTTCAATGTAATCTACAGAAATTCCTCAAAGTGTTTTCAAGATGGAGATGAATCAGAATTAGTTAAGAGTTACTGTGACAATGGATTGGAGTACACCGAGAATAAGGAACCAGTGACCTCTATGTATGAGGAAGAATTTACTGCTATGACCCATCTCTATCATTGTCAGGCAAGTGTTTATTAAAATAAACTGCTCTGAATCTACATGTACCTGTACTTTGAATATGTTGAATACAAGAAGTATTACTTAAAAAATTTAAAATCCTGAATTATGAACTTATTACCCGTATTCATTTTAAAATTTTTCAGAGGAAAAGAGAAATATAACTGGGGAACATTATTAGCCATAGCATTCTTATTTAGTCAATGAAAAGTTTGATAAAGTCTTAATGTTTTTGTTTCAGGGTTTGAAACCCGAGACTTTTTCTCGACATAAGATTCTCTACACCACTGATGATAACAATCTTCCCATTCTACACCTGCCGTATGTAAACCCAGCTCAGCAAATGGTGGGAATGAGGACTATGTCCCTCCAACATACTGTGACAACAACTACAGAAAAAAGTTTGAAAGGAAAGAAAACAACTGAGGAGGAACAAGGGGAAGAGGGGCAGATGTTTGATGTTGTCAAAAGCTATAAACCAAGGTTTGTGAAAAAAGGTGTTTTAATTTATTGAAGGAGAAAGAATAATAAAATATATCTTATGGAAAAACACAATAGTGATAATGAGTTGTGGTGTCAAGATCAAAATATACATGTATATCATGATTCAGATATGAAAATTTTGAGTACATGTACTCAATGTAGTACTTGGGAGTAGGGAAATATCCTTGAGACTTGTTTCTTGTATAAAATATTGGCCTTTGTTGTTAGAATTGGACTTCAACAACTGTTCGGTTGGCATGGCTTCAAGAGGGATTCCAGAAAATATGAGAATGTTGTAATTACTTCTTCTGAATTTGATGCCATGGCAGTCACCCAGGAAACAGACATGTTAGGTCTGGCTGTTCCCAAGGGATCAGAACTTCCTCTTGAGGTGGGTTTTAAGCAGTTTCCCTTTCATTCCAAGTATTCAATTATCTGTGATAAAGTTGCAATGGAATGTTACTGGTTGATATATTTTATCTAAAGGAAAAAAGTCTTTTTTATATCTATCAAATGGAGTCTTAGTTATTCAAAAAAAAGGTGCTTTTAAGGTTATAAATATTTTCAGTGTCTGCACACCTTGGAGCATGTGAAGAAAATTATTATCTGGCTTGGAGTTAAGGACAGTACCCGAGCAACATCTAAGTTATTTGCCAAGAAACTTGCTGGCAGAAATAGATGTTCAATTGTTAGGTAATACATTTACAAATAGGACACCAATAAAATGAAATACTAATTTTTATTTACTGTTTATATAACATGCATTAGAATACGAACACAGGAGAATTTTTTTCACTTTTCATTAGACCAGAGATGGTCAAAGTATCGGGTCCTCTGGATGCTCTACAAAAAAAGAAGAAATTGAAAGAGATTTTACGAGAAAGTGTTCCTGTTGACCTGGATAATATAGTGGGATTTGAGAGTCTGACCAATGAAGTGTATGCAGAGTTTGCTAATGTGGAACAAGTTACAGGGGTCAAGGTATGTAGCTACTTCACATGTTTGTAAAGACTTGCATTGTTATTCTATTAAATGGGACTATAGACTTTTATTAGTATGAAAGTAAATGTACATGCATATTAATGTCAAGGTGAAAATTATTGAGTGCTTATACGGAATACAATAATGGGAGAACTACCCCCTGCTCACTAATATGACTCTGTTATATGACTATTTTCTAAGATGGAGAAAAAAATGAAATTCAAGCAAAGTTAGTCTATCAGACTACTGGTACATGTAAATTGAGTCGACAATCTTGAGGCCTTAGGTGTGACAACTCATAAGTAAGACGTTTGATACTTTTGAAATACATGTTATACTTCTGGAATACATGTTATACTTTTGGAATACATGTACATTTACTTTTATAGTTGTTCATTTTGCAAATCATCATCACCAGTCCTTGTCAGCTGATTATCTTCAGATCTTGATACATATATGTGTTACCATGCAAAAGTAGCTCCCAATATTCTAATTTATAAATTATATAAATTATAAAATTTATAGCAATTTATTTTTCAAATCTTTAAAGTTTTAAGGCCTAGGAAACACAGTAATATCAATATATTTCATAACACAAAATTAATTCAGATACTTTCATCACTCACCTTTCACTTTCATTGATGCATGGAAAAGGGGAGATAACCTGGAAACATAGGTACTATGTACCAACACTGTATGGATGGATAACTAAATTCATACTTTACTCAATCCTCAGTTTCTCACAAAATAAGAAGCGACTGATAATATTAGAATAGAGCTTTGATAATGTCACATATTATGAGACAAGCTCAAATATGCAGTGTTTTCCCTAAGAACCAGCTACTGACCAAATTGATTGCTTCAATTGATAAAAATGCTGCTTTGAAATAAAAAAAAATCAAAATTTTATTGTCGTAAGGTCCACAGAGATTTGTCATAAACATCAACCCAAAGCCTGTTACAATTGATCTCTAACCCTTCACTGTATAATAAAGGGAAAACTCTGAATATGCATAATTACATGTACATGTATTTCGTAAGTATGGATTTTCTGACTGTAATACAGCCAAAGGTCATGGTATTTGAGATATTAGTGTTCGAGATACCAAAGTTCAACTGTATTTTGATACTTCTGTATGGATTTTCTGACTAATATTTTGATACCCTTGTATGGATTTTCTGACTGTTAATATTTGATACTTGTGTATAGATTTTCTGACTTCAACATTTTGATACTTTGTATGGATTTTCTGACTGTAATATTTTGATACTTGTGTATGGATTTTCTGACTGTAACATTTTGATACCTGTTTATGGATTTTCTGACTATAATATTTTGATACTTGTGTATGGATTTTCTGACTGTAACATTTTGATACCTGTTTATGGATTTTCTGACTGTAATATTTTGATACTTGTGTATGGATTTTCTGACTGTAATATTTTGATACTTGTGTATGGATTGTCTTACTGTAACATTTTGATACCTGTTTATGGATTTTCTTACTAATATTTTGATACTTGTGTTTCAGTGGAAGCGCTTTGCCCAGATGAATCACTTGTTACAAGGACTTCGCCCAGGAGAATTGACTTTGTTCAGTGGCACTACGGGTTGTGGAAAAACTACATTTCTTGGAGAGTACTCACTGGATCTATGTGTACAGGGGGTTGGTGAAATGAATATCTGTACTTAAGAAAATCTATTACAGAATTATCAGATACAACACATTATATTTACAACAAATCAAAATTGTTCATTGTGGCACTTCACCGTAAGCGTGTTTTACTGTATGTAATAAATAAATGTACATGCAGAAAATATCAAATAAATACCTGTAGTAAACATGAAGTTTGAACTATCACAAACTGTAGTTCGGAGTCCAAAATATGCGCAGAGGACATCAGCAATTATTGTTTCTTTTCTTTTCAGGTAAATACCCTTTGGGGAAGTTTTGAGATTAACAATGTTCGTATGGCGAAAATGCTCCTTAGACAGTTTGCTGTGTGAGTAAAAAACAGATTTTATGCTTCAAGTCTTTGATGATTCTGTTTGTAGTATTTTTGTAAAATTTCTTTTTCATACTTCCCAGTTTCTATTCTCTCAGGGTTCTCCATCAGCTGTTTTACTGTGTCGGTCCCGACACAGTAAAATTTTCCCAAACACAGTAACAATTCAAATTTTATGCGTGCGAGACAGTAAATATTTTGCGACACAGTAAGATCCATGATAATCAGAACATAAATTTTCTATAACTGAAACTTTAATCAAACAAGTCTACCGTCTTTCAATTTTTAATGCAGATCAATTAATTATCTCTTAATTAGGGCACATTATCTTGCTTCACCTTGCATTATCATTTATCTCCTAGACCCTCACTGAATTTTACACATGAAGGACAAAGGCAAATCATTTGTTTTCACACTTCCATGTAACCGTATAATTGCTAAATGCATTTTTAAATATTATTTAAATATATAAAAATTAAATATATTTCTTTACTTCAGAATCATGTCTCTAGAATAATGATGGCACTGTGAGTCAAACATCATAATGTAAATTAATTGAATCAATGTACATGTTTTGTTGAAGAATTTAAAAGCACCCCTGGTAGTATTTTCAATTCTAAATTTCTTTTTTAAATTCAAAAACTTACCCGTAATTCGATCAACAAACAAAATCACAGCAAATTTACTTTTAAAGATGGCAAGTAGTTTGATTGTATCGACCAGAATTTTCCTTTTAAAATTGTGTTGTGTGTGTGTGTGGGGGGGGGGGGGGGTCAGTTGGTTTGTGTTATAGCATGTACATTATTATATATAATTGGAGACATTCTAATTGTTTTCAATATCTATTTATTATTTTTTTTTATTAATATGTACGATCATACCATTTGTGTAAAGGATAAATGACTCAAAATAGTTGTGTGTGCGTGAATGCTTGTGTAATTATAATGAATAGTGGTTCAGTTGCGAATTTGATCATGAATATATAGGTCTTCACGAAAAGTCTGCAACACCATAAAATTTCAAATGATGGAGAACCCTGTCTCTTATTCTTAATTGCCCATTATGTATTCGGAAATCATCCTTATACTCTGTGCATGTATTGTACCATATCCCTTGGTAGGGACATTTTTGTAGAGTTCATCTATATTAAATCAGATCTTCTGTTACTGATGGTCTGTAGTGATTTAATTTTTCCAGTAAGAGTTTTGACGAGTCTCTAGAGGACTACGAGGTATGGGCAAACCGCTTCAAACAACTGCCATTGTATTTCATGACCTTTCATGGACAGGAAGATTTTAATAAAGTTAAAGAGGTACTTGTTTGTTTGTGTGATATTAGTTCACAAGAAAGGTTTCTTCTCTCTTACGTCTGGAGCTAGTGTTTGAAAAGTTCTTTTAGACTAAATATTTACTATGGTACAAACATGATTTTGCTATAAGTGATATTCAAAGAAAGGTATGTATGAAACTATGATTAAGGTGACACTTAAACACCCTCACAAAGAGCTTATGAACATGTTTGTTGAAATCATAGACTTTAACACATGTAGGTAATTCCAAAACTACAAACCATCATTAACATACTCCAAAGTGCGATGGGACTCCAAAGTTAGATGGTCACGCCAAAGTCAGATGGTCTGCGCCAAACCCCAATGGTTTGACACGCCAAAGTCTGATGGTGCGGAAAAACGATTGACGTCAAAGTACTACTGCACCAAACTGCTATCCTGCACCATGCCAAGGTCTTAAATAAGTATAAATAAATATCATTATGCAAAAACTAACCCTAATCTCTGGGATTGGTGCGAAACTAACCCTAATCGCTTGAAAAGTGTGTAACAACTACATGTATAACCTAGATATCTTGGGTGGGAGCGAGACTAACCCTAATCACTTGACTACTGTGCAAGGACAAACCCTAAATCTCTCGGGTTGGTGCAAAGCAAGGACTAACCCTAATCAGTCGAGTGGTGTGGGAGGACTAACCCTAATATCTCTGGTGGGTGCAAGCAATAAGCAAAATCGGTAAAATTGTATGTGAGGACGAATACTGAACTGATGTCTTTTGAATGCTGGACAACCGACGTCAAGGATTGACGTCGGAATATTGTGACGTCATAAACGTTGATTGTTTCTCCACACCATCGGACTTTGCCGTGTCAGACCATCGCACTTTAGTGCAGCGCGTCTCATAGGAAACGAGCCATCGGACTTTGGCGTGACCATCGGACTTTGGCATCCGTACCAACATCAAACCATCGGGGTTTGGTGCAGACCATAGGGGTTTGGCGAGACCATTGGACTTTTGAGTCTTACATATATATATAAACAACTGAAGTAATTGGAGATAGTTATCTCTATGTACAGCTGCAGAGAACAGTTTTTTTTTTAAAAGAATTTGAAAGTTTTTACCTACATGTACCATGCTATATTCTTGACTTTGTTGTCATTAAAAGTGTGACCAACATTGCTTGTAGTGCCAATTTGAAAAGAGAAAAACAGAGGCATAGTTTGTTACTGGTACTTTTGCTTCATTATTTTCAGACATTGATCCGAGCTGTGTACGCTAACGATATACAACATGTCATCCTGGATAATCTGCAGTTCATGATAGGATCAGGGTATGACAATAATTTTAACAAGTTTGATGTCCAAGACTTCATCATTGGAGAATTAAGGAAGTTTGCCACAGATTTCAACTGCCATGTGACTCTTGTGATACATCCTAGGAAGGTAAAAAAATAATGTGACTGACATGTATAGTGAACATATCAAATGCAGTAGATTTTGTCCTTTAATATGAACAATAGTTAGTTATTGCATTGTACACTTTATTAATTTTCTTGATGTATAGTAGTGGTACAGTAGACAGTACTTCTAAATGATGATTCTTTTTGTTTATTGGTCACTGGAGTCGATAAATATTCTGTATGTTTTATACTGATGTAGTCTTAAGGGACTGGGACAAATAACATTATTTATTACATACTTAGTAATAAATACAGGATTTTGACGTCAAAATAGCGTATTTGCCCTGCAGGGCTGATATGGATCTGTGGGACTGATACGGATCAGTGTCATACCCCTGGTATATTAAACCTTAAAAAATGGTACTTGTGACAGTGCACCTATTTTTTGGGGGGAGGGGGGGGGTCACATTCTCTTTATTTTAAATTACTGTTCTTTGATACAATAAACTACGTACATGTCAGTAGTCAGTGCATGATTTTATTTTTTTTTCTCAAATTGATGTGTGCTGTATTTTATTACTAAGTATTTAATAAACATAATAAAACATACCCTTTTCCACATCACATCCTGTATCAGCCCTCGACCAATATCAGCCCTCTGGCCTTTGGCCCTCTGGCTGATATTGGTGTCTCGGGCTGATACGGGATGTGATATGGAAAAGGGTATGTATTATTCTCTATTTTCTATCCCCTTTTTCCCAGTAGGGATTTTTTGTGTGTGTGTAAATCTTTGCAATTGGATGTTTGATACAGTCTTATAATAAACTGAGTATAAGCTTTAATAAAAAATGTACAGTTCAAATTCCCTAGGTATGGATATGGATATTCATGTATACAGTGGCACTGCGTTTATCCGGACGCTTCACCATCCGGACGATATTTTTTGGGAACCAATTTTTTCCACATTATTTTGTCTCATTAATCCAGAAATTCGCGTTCCGTATCCGGACAGTCAATTTCTACTACAAAACATAATAGTTCATTGAAAAATGACTCGTTTATCCGGACCGTAATTTTTCAAGAATCGACATTTTCACACAATTTATCTTGCATTGGTGTTAATTGTTGTAAAAACACTGGCCATGCAGTCAGTTTGAAGGCAGTTACTTGTGACCTACAAACTATAGCATCTATAATTAGCATGTGTTTACCCCAATTCAATCACATGTTTATCTTTATTATGAAGCTCAAAGAATTTAGCTGACACTGTGCATTAATTAGATAATAATCCGTTCAAAATCATATTGCTATGCGTATGTAAATCGGTAAATTCAGGAGAATTTTGGAGAGTTGTAAATAAAATGAACAATAAATAACGAGCGATTTCGTAATGCTCTTTTTCATGTCGATTGTGTTAGTTTAAAATACTCTTTACTTTTGTGTAAAAATTGTGAGAGGTTCAGCTAGGTTAATAAGGTTCCAAACTATCAAAAAAGGGTGTAATTGTAATGCTTTTAATTTTTACACAAAAGTAAAGAGTTATTTTTTTTTTAGGAGAATATAGATCAAGAGATCACCATTAGTTCTATTTATGGAAGTGCTAAGGCCACACAGGAGGCCGATAATGTCATTATACTACAGACAAGGAGACTGTCAACCTCAGTCACTAAAAAGTACATACAGGTGAGTAGATTGTCAACATCAGTCACTAAAAAGTACATACAGGTGAGTAGATTGTCAACATCAGTCACTAAAAAGTACATACAGGTGAGTAGATTGTCAACATCAGTCACTAAAAAGTACATACAGGTGGGTAAGATTGTCAACATCAGTAACTAAAAAGTACATACAGGTGGGTTAGATTGTCAACCTCAGTCACTTAAAAGTACATACAGGTGAGTAGATTGTCAACATCAGCCACTAAAAAGTACATACAGGTGAGTAGATTGTCAACATCAGTCACTAAAAAGTACATACAGGTGGGTTAGATTGTCAACATCAGTCACTAAATAGTACATACAGGTGGGTTAGATTTTCAACCTCAGTCACTAAAAAGTACATACAGGTGGGTTAGATTGTCAACATCAGTCACTCAAAAGTACATACGAGTGGGTTAGATTGTCAACCTCAGTCACTAAAAAGTATATACAGGTGAGTAGATTGTCAACATCAGTCACTCAAAAGTACATACAGGTGGGTTAGATTGTCATTATCAGTCACTTAAAAGTACATACAGGTGAGTAGATTGTCAACATCAGTCACTAAAAAGTACATACAGGTGGGTTAGATTGTCAGCCCCAGTCACTAAAAAGTACATACAGGATGGGTAGATTGTCAACATTAGTCACTAAAAAGTACATACAAGTGGATTAGATTGTCAAGATATGTCGAAACAATACATATAGGTGGGTTAGATTGTCAACATTAGTCATTAAAAAGTACATACAGGTGAGTAAATTGTCAACCTCATTCACTAAAAAGTACATACAGGTGGGTTAAATTGTCAACATCAGTCACTAAACAGTACATACAGGTGGGTTAGATTGTCAACCCCTGAAACTAAAAAGTACATACAAGTGGGTTAGATTGTCAACATTGGTCAATAAACAGTACATACAGGTTGGGTAGATTGTCAACATTAGTCACAAAAAAGTACATACAGGTGGGTTAGAATGTCAACCCCTGTCACTAAAAAGTACATAGAGGTGGGTTAGATTGTCAACATTGGTCACTAAAAAGTAGATACAGGTGGATTAGATTGTCAACCTCAGTCACTAGAAAGTTTTTGATTTCGATGAACGGTGTTGCCATGGTTACTAAAAATAGAATTTCTGTGAAATACTTTCAAAACTCTACTCCTCCTACAGTTTTGGTCTGATTTCAATATAACTTGGCACTCAAGTAGATTACACTGAGATACATAATTCTGTATATTCATTTTTTGATTTTGGTGAAGTGTTGCCATGGTTACAAAAAAGCTGAAATTTCTTTGACATACTTTCAAAACATTACTTGTCACCCGCGTGGCACAGTGGTAGAATGTTTGCTCTAGAGTCCCAGAGTAAGGAGTGATCCTTTCGTCGCAGGTTCGAATCCCACTATGGGACATGGAGACCGGTCCTTCGGATAAGACCATATAAACCATGGTCCCATGTCCCAGTAGGTGCTGGCACGAAAAAGATCTCTTACTGCTCAATGGCCCTGAGTGCCAAGCATAGGTCAAAATTTGCAGCTCTCCACCGGCAAGTGGTGGCATCACCATATGAGTGAAAAATTCTTGAGAGGGACGTTAAACAACAAACAAACAAAATATTACTTTGCCTACAGTTTGGTATGATTTTAATATAACATGGCATGCAAGTAGACTACACTGAGATACATAATAGTCTTTTATTTTTTTGATCTTGATGAATGATGTTGCCGTAGAATCAAAATTTCTCTAAAATTCTTTTAAAAGGCTACTCTTTCTACGGTTTTAGTCTGATTGCAATTCATCTTGCAACAAAAAGAGAGTAAAACAAGGATTATTATTTATTTATTGCTGTTGCAAAGTTTCAAATCCAAGTGCTACTTTTTTCTTCCTTGTTATAAGTACAAACCAGTAGAGCTACAGTCTCGACAGAGACTTCTAGTTTAATTTTGCTCTCTGCCCGGGATTAGCACATACCATTTCATGGTTGAAGTCAACTCTTCCATTCGGCGAGCAGAGTTCTGATGCTGTTTAGGGAGATAAAAGAAAATACTGAAAAAAATGCCATATATGGTTTTGTAGATAAATTATCGTAGAAGACAGTGGTAGTAAACAGTTTGCCAGTGTATTTCCTCTAAAAGTGTAATGAGTGCAATTCTGGGGAGGGGGGTACTCCATGTAATTCGGGGTTGGATACCTTGTGTTATTATTATAATATGGGTTAAAAATTTACTGAGGAAACAAGTACCTACAAAAGTACATACAGGTGGGTTAGATTGTCAACATCAGTCACTAAAAAGTACGTGCAGGTAGGTTAGATTGTCAACCTCAGTCACTAAAAAGTACATACAGGTGGGTTAGATTGTGTCAGCCGCAGTCACTAAAAAGTAAATACAGGTGGGTTAGATTGTGTCAGCCCCAGTTACTAAAAAGTACAAACAGATGGGTTAGATTGTCAGCCCCAGTCACTAAAAAGTACATACAGGTAGGTTATATTGTCAACTTCAGTCACTAAAAAGTATATACAGGTGGGTTAGATTGTCAACATCAGTCACTAAAAAGTACATACAGGTAGGTTAGATTGTCAACACCAGTCACTAAAAATGACATACAGGTAGGTTAGATTGTCAATCTCATTTAAACACTAAAAAGTACATACATGTGGGTTAGATTGTCAACCTCTGTCACTAAAACACTAAAAGTACATACAGGTGGGTTAAATTGTCAACCTTAGTCATTAAAAAGTACATACAGGTGGGTTAGATTGTCAACCTCTGTCACTAAAAAGTACATACAGGTAGGTTAGACTGTCAACCTCAGTCATTAAAAAGTACATACAGGTGGGTTAGATTGTCAACATCAGTCACTAAAAAGTACATACGAGTGGGTTAGATTGTCAACCTCAGTCACTAAAAAGTACATACAGGTGGGTTAGATTGGGATTATACTATCGACAAGCAGATTGTCAACCTCAGTCATTAAAAAGTACATACAGGTGAGTTGCTTAAATTTTCATAATAATATACAGGGAGGTTGTTATCACTCACCAGAATATTCTTGTACATTAGTTGAGTGTTTTATTGTTTGTAAAAGTTCCAGTTATTTCTAAAATTTATTTAAAAAAAAAGAAAAAAAAAGCCTTGACATTTAAATAATATTTGAAAATCTTTTTTACCTGTCATTTTTGAGACCCTTTTTAAAGAATTTAAGTATGGTATATTTCTTTTGGTGATATTATACCATGTACATGTAGGTGGTAAAGAACCGCTTTGATGGGACCACTGGCTCCATGATGCTTAAGTTTGACAAAGGATCACTAACTTTCTCTGGAGTCAAGTCCAACATTAAGAAATCTAAAGACAAGAAATCCCAAGAAGAGTCAGAGGAGGATGTCATTGACGAGAAGAAACTGAAATACAAAGTGTATCTGGACACAGAAGGGGTGGAGGAGAAGAGGCTGCCAGAGGATTTATTCAACATTTCATAACAATGGAGTGAGCATGTACACATGGAGTGAACATGTACACATGGTGTGAACATGTACACATGGTGTGAACATGTACACATGGAGTGAACATGTACACATGGAGTGAATATGTACACATGGTGCGAACATGTACACATGGAGTGAACATGTACACATGGAGTGAACTTGTACACATGGAGTGAACATGTACACATGGAGTGAACATGTACACATGGTGTGAACATGTACACATGGTTTGAACATGTACACATGGTTTGAACATGTACGCATGGAGTGAACATGTACGCATGGAGTGAACATGTACGCATGGTGTGAACATGTACACTTGGAGTGAACATGAATACAGACATGTTCAATTTTTGCAGAAAAATGCAGAGGAGTGAAACATTGAATAAATCCAAACAAATTACATTTATACATGTGAAATGGATTTTTGACATTTTTGATAGAATCTGAGTGAAAGCCAATCAACATTCATTTGTCTTAATTTTGATTAATCATGAAATTCAGTCCACGAATGTACCTTGCTGTTAGAGATATATATTTACTCTGTATGTTTATAAATATTGAAATTGTTTTTCGATTTTGAAAATCTTTTATTCCGTGCATTGCCAATCTCTCTTGTTTACATACGTGTACATGTATTTTTTTTGCCTTGCCATTTTTTTATTTGTATTTTTCAATCAATATATAATTTTAAGGGCATTTGATTCTTTTTTTTTTTTACATTCACCCAGTGTTCATTCTATTTATATGTGTTCTAAGTAATCCTTACAACTGTGAAATGAACTGCTAGGACCATTCTCGCATTTGTAGTTTAGAACTTTGCTTTCCTCAAATTCACAGAATAGCACTGATGCTTTGTGGTACTTTGATAAATTATATATGCATTTATACTTTTCAATTTTTTTGTTAGAATGTCTTCAGTGCTAGAGCATTTTTTTAACATTTTTGAAATTCATCAGCATTTATAAATTCAAAAATATAAGAAGACTCTGTAAATGTTATACACTAATTAGTCGATACACATCTCAGTTGATTAGATTAACATATACTAGTAATTACAATATAGTAAAATACTAAAATTATTTAAAACAGAATAAATATCTCTATAAAAGCACAGTAAAGACTTTAAAAACTACAAGTATCGGTATGTAAAATATCCCTTGTACATGTGTGTATGATCTGTTTTATCTAGTGTAAATCATGTTGTGCTTTGGATGATTTTATAAGTACTACATCAAACTTAATTTTAAAAAAAACATAAGAAAGGAATAATTCTACAAATTTACATGTATGTAACAGTATAAATCTAGAGGTGAATGTTTCAGAGTGAAGCACCATCAAGCTTTTCAGGTCTGTGATAATGTGGAACTGCTTGTATAATATGTAATGTTATAAAGAGCTAATTAAATGATAAATACATCTGTATTGTAAAGAAAACATTTACAGAAAACATTTTACAACATGGAAAGCTTATTAATAAAGTTACTGCAGCTGAAGGTATGATTTGATTTTTATGTAACAATTTAGATATCTGATTGAATCATATGTGGCTGGATGCTTTCACCAACTGTACAAATCAATAAATTGTCAGATCAACTGTCAGAGAATATTGACCTTGATATTTGAATGGAATCAAGGTCATTTCACCTTTAGGATATCGGCAACAACATATTCATGGTTTAATGCATTCCAGTCGAGGATTAATTCATTCCAGTCAAGGATTCCAAAGTGATGTTGTAGACATTGCCCAATGACTTGGACCTTTCAGTCAAGGTTGTTACTGAAGGTTATGGGAAACAAAATACAATGTACTACAGTTTGTCACTTCAATCAACTTCAAGGGTTAGATAGTTATGACCCAGACACATGGGTTAGATAGTTATGACCCAGACACAAGGTTTACATAATTATGACTCGGACACAATGGTTTGATAGTAATGGCCCAGCCACAAGGGTTTGATAGTTATGACCCAGCCACTTGGATTAGATAGTTATGACCCAGACACAAGGGTTAGATAGTTATGACCCAGACACAAGGGTTAGATAGTTATGACCCAGCCACTTGGATTAGATAGTTATGACCCAGACACAAGGGTTAGATAGTACCTAAGCTCAAAGTCCATTGAGACAATACAAACTGGGAGCAGAGCAAACACGGACCTTTAAAACATCAGAGGTGGAATCAAGTGCCATGGAGGAGTAAGCATTGTCATGATCAGGCAAACGGAAAAATCCGTAGACAATTTGATGTTTAAATAATGGACTTACAATTAGTATGAAAAACGTCAGTCAGCATTCGACTTAATGGTAGATTTATTTGCTGACAAGTTTTGTATTGGCCATAGAACTTGCGAAATGTTGACTTTAAACAAGACTGTGGATATCAACTTGTTTGTCAAAAGCTTACTTCGTTTCAGAAATTATTCGTATGTGGAGCATGCTCTTGCGTATCGAATCAACAGGGAGATAATACTTTGTCGATATATCTAAAAGTCGGATTGAAGGCCACAGCAACTTTGTTCTTTTCATGTATTTGAATAAATTCTGCTTCATATGATTACAAAAATAGGTCTGCTAATTACGGAAGCGTATTAGTGCCACGTATTACATGTATATTTTTTTAAAGTTGGTAATTTCAACTTTAATCTTGGCTTTTCCAACTTTTAATTTGAACTTTTTTGCCCATTTCTTCGGCTTTACCTTTATTTTAAATTATTACCAACTTTATTAACGCAAAACTAATACACTGAAATAGATTGGTGAGCAATTAAACTGTGTCAATTGTTTTTTTTTAATTTGACTTCCATATGACCTTATATATAACTTCCAACTTTGAAAACCCTTATAATTTTTTTTTTTAGTCCATCTTATAATTATACAGATAATAACTTCATACAACTCCGTGCATGACAGTATTTCAACCAAACCTATTTAAGAGATTATATATATATATATATATATATATATATATATATATATATATATATATATATATATATATATATATATATATATATATATATATATGTGACCGTGTGTTTTTATTAATAAAGATATTATCTAATAAAAATACAGCATTGACTTATTGTTTTTAATTTTTGTCCATAATGTATTTCCATACTTTAAATAGTTATAAGTAAGAGCGTTTGTATATATTTATTACACTAAGGCTTTTCCATAGTGTGTCCCATTAAGTCAAGCATGCTATTCATGCATGGGTGATCCAGGTATTTGATTGGCTACTCTGGTGAGAAGCTCACTATTGTAGTAATTTTTTTTAGACATTCAAAAAAGATCCTTAGAATGAGCAGTGTATTTTGTATACCAGACCTTATGGACTTTATATGGACAATTTAAATATACTAAACAGGTCAGTTTATTAACATTTTAACATTATTAATTATGAGCATGATGTATGAAAGTTATGTGAATGAGATTTCTGTAAAATATTATTTTTTATGAGTTTTAAATATATTTTGCCAATAATCAGTCAGACTTACTTTATGTGATAATTTATTATAGTTATGACTGACTGAGAAATTAAGCATCAAGAAGATCAGGTTCATTTACCATATATTTGGTAAGCTTTGTGTTTAGTGAAGTTTGTGTATATTGTGATGTCTATTTGTGTTGTAAATAGAATTTCATTTGAATACTATGAATGGATATGTTTATAGTGAAAAGTAAATTATTTTATGATAATGAATTGCATAATATAATGCTTGAAATGATTATTTTATGATGATCCTTAAAGTTATGAGGAAAATGGAGTTATTTCCCTTAGCCAGAAAATTCAGTGTTTTGTGTGATGTTTGTGTATGTTTGTTTGTCTGTGAATTATTTGTTAAATATTTTATTTACAGAACTACACATAACATGACCTGTACATATGGAATATGCAATAGATCTATATTAATTGAATCCAGTCTTCGTTGTTATTAAAATCAACGTCTACAAATGGCGCCCAACGTGTAGGGACGACACCACCATTGACCACTAACAGTTACGTATCCAGGGCGGGAAAGTAGTCACGTGCCTGTTGGATCCGCCAAGACCAAGATTGGTGTCGCATATCATCGGGTTCGGACTGCAGAATATTCCAACCATCATGGCTTCCATGTAAACATGTGTCGGTAAAATTGTTTTAATTTTTACGTGCAGCGAGGAACTTGACTGTGAATGAACTTTAAGAAAGACATTTTCTGAACATTCAATTACGGTGATATTGATCACTTTTGTGAATTGAACAATTAATATTTATTTGACATTTAATTGAATTATTTTGTGCATTGTCAATCAGCTGATCTCTTGACAGTCTTGTAAATCTTTTACACTTGTGCTTGTCTTGATACATGCTATTTATTCATATGTTTATTTATTTATTTTGCATTGACATCACCTTATTCATCACCATCATTGTGTGTACCTCCATTTTTTGACACTAATTGAGTATATCCTTGAAGAAAGAGTCACAGATCAGGGAGTGTGAGAGATTTCAGATTAACAAGAGGTTAAGGTAAAATATTAACCACTAAACTTTATTAATTGACAAAACCTTTATGACAGTAAGACCTACCACGCTTATCTGATCAAAATGTTTGTTGTTGTCAGTTGGTATTGAGACCTTGAGTCTGTGGTTAAAGTTAGTCATATTTTCATCTGATCAAAAGAATTGTCTGTAGTTAAAAGATCTAGGTACATTATTGCAGAAGGTTGTCTGTAATTGATTGCTTTTTCGAACCACTTGATTCAGATTGAATATACTGGTGTGAACCATTGAGCATTACTGAATTTGAAAATATTTTTGATCCCATATTATTATTTGACATTTGCTATTTATATTGTTTGCACTTCGCGTTATTTCGTGCATTTTGACGTTACTATCCGAAGACTACAGCTACAATTAAAGAGGTTTGCTATTTAGTTTAGAAATTCTTAGTTAAGAGATT